ATTATTATTTTTATCCTCGTCACAGGTGAGCCTGGTCTGGAGGGACCCAGTGGTCGCCCCGGTGAGCCTGGTCGTCCCGGACGTTCCCTGGATGGAGGAATGGGACCCAGAGGATTCCCTGGAAGGGACGGAAACCCAGGTACGATCCTTTCCATAATGGTACACAATAAAATGGGAAAAGTAAAAATGATGCTGGTAATAAACACAACGACAATGGTAATAGTCCAATGAAAATTGCGGTAATGATCGTAATGAGAAAGAAAGAGATGTAACTTTTCTCTCTCTCTCTCTGCATCAAGAAGGTAAAAGTAACCATTTCTGTCATTAGATCAAGAAGGTTAAAAAGTAACTCTCTTCTGACACTCTTTCTTTCTGGGTCAATAAGGTAAAAATAACTTTTCCTTTTCACTCTCTGGATCAAGAAAGTAAAAATAACCTCTTAGGAAGTAAAAATAGCCTTTGTCTCTTTCATTTTGAATCAAGAAAGAATTTTACAGAGTACCCTTTCTCTCTCTCTGGATCAAGAAAGTAGTCTTTTTCTCTCTGGATCATGAAAGTAAAAGTAACCTTTTTCTCTCTGGATCAAGAAAGTAGTCTTTTTCTCTCTGGATCTTGAAAGTAAAAGTAACATTTTTCTCTCTGGATCAAGAAAGTAAAAGTAGTCTTTTTCTCTCTGGATCATGAAAGTAAATGTAACCTTTTTCAAGAAAGTAGAAGTAAGTTTTCTATGTCTGCTTCTCAGGTGCTCCTGGCCTGGTCGGTCTCCCTGGTGACGAGGGTCTGCCAGGTTTCCCTGGAGAGCAGGGCATGTTTGGCGTTCCCGGCCGTCCTGGTGAGCCCGGTCTAACTGGACTGGATGGTAATCCTGGACTGCCAGGAGATGATGGACCTTCTGGACTTACTGGCCTCCCAGGTCTGTTGAATTGTGTCTCTATTTTTAAAAAATCTTCCGTTTATGTAATTTAGATCATGAGCTTTTAGAATGAGGTTTGTCATTTCTGCTGGCCTGTTGTCAGTACTATTTGAGTGGCATATTTTAAGATACTCGCATTCTATCTACATAGTATAAAAAGAAGGAAACAAGTGAGTCAGAACTGTTTTATACTCATGTTCTCAAACTTATATATTACTTTTAGAAAAAGTTCCTTTTTGAGGAAATAAAATTCTTTTTGTTTGTTTTTATTTGTGTACCATCATAACAAAATGAGTTGCTTGTCGCACTCGGCTGTTTTGAGATATTTGGCAAGACCTCAATTTTCTAAAAACTGTGTGTTTATCTCTTCCCAACTTCAGTGGCAATAACTTTGGAACTAAAGCAGCTAGACTAGAGTTAAATCTTTACCCACTTGTTGGGCTTGAAAAGATATTTAATTTGGTTGCCAAAGTGTTATATTGTCAAAATGAGACCTGTGATTCGTGCTGTCATGTTGCTATTCTGTTGTATGGTCTGCAGAGTATATTTGTGTGTGTGTGTGTGTGAAGTTATTTTTGTATAGCCTGCCAAGTACATTTGTGAATGTGTGTGTGACATAGTCTGTTTAGTACATTTGTGCATGTCATGTTACTTTTATATGGCTTGTCAAAAACATTTATGAATGTGTGTGTATGTGTGACAAGGTCTGTTTATTACATTTGTGCGTGTCATGATACTTTCTTGTTTGGCCTGTCGAGTACGTTTGTGAATGTGTGTGCGGTGTGGTCTATTTAATACATTCTGTGTGTGCGTCACACAACTTTTGTATTACATTTGTGTATGTGTCATGGACTGTAAAGTACATTTGTGTGTTTGTGTGAGTGTGTGGGTGTATATATATATATATATATATATGTGTGTGTGTGTGTGTGTGTGTGTGTGTGTGTGTGTGTGTGTGTGTGTGTGTGTGTGTGTGTGTGTGTGTGGGTGTGTGTGTGTTTGTGTCATGGTATGTTGAGTACATTTGTGTGTGTGCTTTGTTACTTTAGTATGATCTGTTAGGTACATTTGTGTTTGTGCCTTTGTCTTTTGAATACATTAGTGATTGTGTCATTGTCTTTTGAGTACATTAGTGAATGTGCCTTCGTTTCTTCAGGACCTGCTGGGGACAGAGGTGAGCCAGGGTTCCCTGGTATCCCTGGAAATGATGGCCGCCCTGGAGAGTCTGGCCTGCCTGGATTAGATGGTGAGTAGTTTGAGAGACCTTTGACGCTTGCATCAACATTTTTGCTTCTTTCCTTTAAAAAACTGTATTGGGCTTTTTACGTTTTTAATTTTCTAATTTTTTTTTCTACTTAAGAAGTTCTTTTAGTATTTTGCATTTTCAATTTTATTTTTTTTTCGTTGTTCCTCAAGAATCTTTTTGATATATAGCATTTTCATTTTTTGTGGGTGGGGTTTTTCTCTTCAAGAAATCATTTGGGTATTATTTTTAAAGCGTAAAAACATCTACTCTCTGTTTTGTTGCAAATATTCTTCTTGGTTTGCATCTATGTAAAATCTATAATTCTGTGCTAATCATCATCATCATCATCATCATCATCATCATCATCATCATGTTTTTCCTCCCCATTATCATCATCATCATCATCTTCATCGTCATGTTTTTCCTCCCATCATCATCCCCTTATTTTCCTGCAGGTATGCGTGGTGACAACGGAACTCCAGGTCTTCCCGGCCTGCGAGGATTTAACGGTGGCGATGGACTGCGTGGCGAGGATGGACTTCCTGGTTTGCCAGGAAGAGACGGCCTCAGAGGCTTTGATGGGGAACAGGGCCTTGATGGTCTTCCTGGCGACGATGGTTTGTTTCTCTGCTTTGTGTCTGTTTCTCAATAGTCCTGTTTTTTTTCTTTCCTACTGTCATTTCTGTCTTTATTTCTTGCCTTTTCCTTGCAGTAAAGGAATGTTTTGGTGTTGAAGTAATACTCTTTACGAATCTTTTTTCTTATAAAGAAGAAAAAGAGACAGAGAGAGAAACTGAGAGAGACAAATGAAAAGTCAGAGAGATGGGTGGAAAGACAAAAAAAAGGGGAAAAAAGGAAGAGGAAATGAGAGATTGAGAGAGAGAGAGAGAGAGAGAGAGAGAGAGAGAGAGAGAGAGAGAGAGAGATGGAGTGATGGACAGAGAGAGCGATGAAGAGAAAAAGGAATTTGAACCTATTAGTATTCGACTCGCCGAGATCCTTTTTTCACATGATTTTCTTTAAGATGGCAGATAACACTCCTTTAACTCTTTTTAGCACCGGCTATTTTAAGCCCTCGCTTCACTCTTGCCCAAGTCATACTGGAGTCCTTGACTCCTCACAACAAACAAACTCTGGATGTGTCTGCAATTTTTTTTCAGATGTTAAAAGAACTTCTTTACTGTTTTTGTTTGAAGTTTTAGAAGATAACAAGTAAAATGTTTTTCATAGATAATTTGACAGATTATGATAAAAAATATGGGACTGGGTTTGAGGTGGCGAGATGATGAGGACAAGAACTGAGGATAATATATGCTACAGGGGATGTAACCAATAATATTCAAGAGCATGGGAGAACTTCTCACAGTGTCTTGAAGATGTGAGAAAACTTTTGACATGTGGAATTTTTTTTTTTTTTAATAAATTTTTTAATGTAAGTGTTGTTTATTCTTCTATTGACACAATTTTTATTATAAAAGAGATGGGCTTCTACCCTACCTGCCAGGGGCCAACCTGGGCTAAGAGAGATACAACATTTTAGCAGAAAGATGAGGATACTTGGTAAAAATTTCCGCAAAATGGGAATTGAACTCTGGTCTTGTGTGTGTACCTGAGAAATGCTTAACCACTGCATGTCAGATGCTGATGTGGAATTATTGAAGACATAACATTTCCTTGTGTTCTCAGGCCTGCCAGGACTGAGGGGTATGCCCGGTCTGCCCGGAGAGCAAGGAAGAGATGGACAGAAGGGAGACAGAGGCAGGGGCATCCCTGGAGAACCAGGTAAACCACAATCTTTTAGTATTTGACCCTCTTGTTTAAGAATTTCACCCTTTTGTTTTGTCACCCTTTCATTTTAGAATTTCACCCCTTTTGTTTTAGTATTTCACCCTTTGTGCAGTGTTCACCTTGACTGGGAAAATCTTCATCCTTTAGTATTTCACTTTTTGTCTTGTATTCTACTTTTTTAAGATCTAATTTCTGGTTGTATACTCTTGCTGTTACACTGTCTAGTGGTAGTCTTGACGATGTCCAAACTTTTTAATTCGTTGTTTATCTGTGTAGCCTACTCCAAACAGCCAACTTGTTCTCTGACAATCTCATTTCTCCCCTTGTCTCATCCTGTGATGTATAAATCTATCATCAACTTACATAAATGATTTGTTGTGCTTCCACTATTTGGGACCACCATGTGACCAAAGTCTCGAATTTTCAGGTCTCGACGGCTTGCCAGGTATTGCTGGGTTGCCAGGATTAGATGGTTTGCCTGGACTCAAAGGAGCACCTGGAGATTCTGGGTTGCCAGGTAGGCATAATTTGATATATAAACCCCTTCATTGCTGAGGCATGCTCATTTGTGTTTGTACAGAATATGACAGAACAAGTTATGGAGATCACAAGAGAGTTTGAAGGGGTTAAGATAATATCTTTTACTGTTATGTTTTCTATGGTTCCCAAACACTGAATACAAATATGGGCACATACAAACACATTGTGCAGTTAAACGCACTCAAATAACTCCTCCCCTCCCCCTCCAAAAAAATAATTGAACTCGTGCAGTGTAGTAGAGAAGCTATACGGGCCGACAGATGAACTGAGCAGGACGGCCCAATTTATGACAGATACCAGACTTCAAGTGTGATGCGATCGAGAAGAAGAAGAAGATGTAGTGTAGTAATATTACATAACCTCAGATATTTGTACAAATACTTTGACTAAAAACCTCTCTCTCTATCTCTCTCTCTGTCTCTCTCGCTCTCTCTGTCTGTATCTCGCTGTCTGTCTGTCTGTCTGTCTGTCTGTCTGTCTGTCTGTCTGTCTGTGTCTGTCTGTCTGTCTCTGTCTGTCTGTCTGTCTGTCTGTCTGTCTCTCTCTCTCTCTCTCTCTCTCTCTCTCTCTCTCTCTCTCTCTCTCTCTCTCTCTCTCTCTCTCTCTCTCTCTCTCTCTGTCTCTCTCTCAACCCCTCAACTTGTCTCTTAATGTGTCTTTTAATATGTCCCTAAATTTTAATGTGTTTCTCAATGATTCTCCTCTCTATACATCTCTAATTGTGGTCCCCTCCCCCCCCCCCCCCCATATGTCTCCCAATATGATGTCTCTCATTATATCTCTCACTGTGTCTTCCAAGTGTCTCTCCTTGTATCCCTCATTATGCCTCTCAATTTGTCTCCTGCTGTTTCTCTCAAAATTCCTCACAATAATATGTCTATCTCTGTATGTTACGCTCTCTCCCTCCCCTCCCCCAGGTTTGGATGGCCTGCCAGGTATGCCTGGTGAGTCTGGTTTCCCCGGAGAAGATGGTCGTGAGGGATTCCCTGGCCTGCCAGGAAGGAGAGGACCAGATGGCAGAAACGGCTTCCCAGGAGAAGATGGACAGCCCGTAAGTTGGAACTGTCAAACATTTCTTTTTAACCCTTCCAGCCCCAGCCATTTTTGTGCACTCCCTAACTCCTGTCCCAGTCAATACAGTAGTAAAAAGTAAAATTGTTCCTGTATCCAATCCGGACTTTGGGGATTGCTTTGTTAGTGAGACAACTTCCTGGGCCTTCGGCATATTGTTGCAGGGTGGCCAGTTCCTTTCCACGCCACCTTTACTTCCCCAACAGTAGTATTTCAGAAAAATAGGCATGCATTCTAAAAAGTGATGTAGTATCTTTGTAATGAAGTTTAGTTAATAGCATAAACAAAGTTTAAAGGTAAATGAACAAATATTATGAAAATTAAAGTTTAATTAGGTTTGCTTAATTTATTTTGAAAAATGAGCAAATTCGGTATCCCCCGAAACTGAGAGTATAAGCTCTTGGGACGAATGGAGATACAAGCGCTGCTGAAAATATATGCGCATGGGGCTTGAAGTGTTAAATTGTAAAATTGTTAATGTTTTACGCCCCATCGACACAATTTAGATCATTTAGGAGGTGGGCTGCTTCAACTATGACTGGCAGAGTAATCCCAGGCTGAGAGGGATACAATGTCTCAGTTGGCAGATGGATATACTCGCTAAAACAGTTCCTTAACCCTATCCGTACGTCCTGGGTGTATTCTTCACATTTTAGAATACTTCTAGTGCAAAGATCTCTTTGAAACTTTCAGTATTTCTCAAAAAATAATTTTGACAGATTGCTATGCAAAGCTTACGGATCGGATTAACAAGTAAATTTCCTTTTTGGAGAGTTCCCCACGTGGTATGGATACGATAGTAAAACACATCGTAAGGATAGAGTTAAACAGGTCGTCTATTTGTGGTGGTGAAGAGGCTAACTGTAAAACAACAGAATATGCTGTTAACCATTTTTTCTCACTCAAGCCACGTAAACAAGAAATAGAAGGAGACCCAGAAGAGGAGCCGATATAATTTAAAGCAATATTACTCTCACCTTTGATGTATATGACCTGCTTTCCTTCATGAGAACAGCGTGAATTCTCTCCCGAAAGAAATGTGTGGGCCTATTATAATACCAGAGAGGAAGTTAAAGAAAAGCCTAAGGACACACTTGTTCAACGCTATCCTCTGTCAGTAAATTGTGCTTGTGATAATGGATAATGAGTATGGATCTGGGAACTCTGTGTGTGTGTGTGTGTGTGTGTGTGTGTGTGTGTGTGTGTGTGTGTGTGTGTGTGTGTGTGTGTGTGTGTGTGTGTGTGTGTGTGTGTGTGTGTGTGTGTGTGTGTGTGTGTTTTAGAAAACACATAAAAGACATTTTCTGTCTTTTGATTTGTTATTTGAGGGGATAATTCTGCTGCAAGCCTTCTGGAGATTATAGGGAATTTAAATTCCCATTATTATTATTATTATTATTATTATTATTATTAGTTTCATTAGTTTTATTATTATGTTTACTATTATTAGAGCTATTGTTATTATTATTATTGTTATAACAATAATTATTACTATTATTGATTTCTTTAGGGAGATCCTGGCCTTGATGGTCTGCCTGGCCTTCCTGGCGCACCTGGACGTCTGGGTCTGCCTGGCGATGATGGTATCAGCGGATTCCCTGGTGATCAGGGTGAAGACGGTTTCCCTGGCCAGCCTGGTCTGCCAGGATTTGACGGCATGACTGGAAATGATGGTGAGTTGAAGGGGCGTATCGCACAGTCTAGGTAGGGGCTAGCAAAGATCCATGCGCCGCACAGGGTGTGTTATACTTTTCCAGACCACTGAAATGACCCACATAGTGACTGTGGCTCATTGCTTTTCTGTGCGCCTGTGACACACATGTGTCTTTATATAAGATTTTGTCAGTGGTTGGTTTCATTTATCAACATATATAACTCTTTTCAGCCAGAATTAATTTCGGGGGTTTTTCTGTACTGCTAGAATTAAATTTCTGCTGCCATTTAAGTTTTTGTGTCACTGACAATTTTGGATATAGATCTAGATATACCTCATTCACCATGCTAAATATATTAACTCATTCGCTACGTATTATTTTCGGCTTGTGGGCGAATTTTTTTCGGGAGGGCGAAATGAGATGATGACTAGTGCGCAGTTCACAGGTCTTTGGGGTCATACATTCAAATAAATATCAATACATTATATACCAACATTTTCAGTATGGTTTGTAGAATACATCCGTATTATTTATTTGCGTATTTTTCAACTTTGGTTCCTGTAAGAGGCGATTATGCAACACAATTGTGATTGGATGCGGATAAAATTGAAAAATAAAAAATTTATAATCTCAGGTGAAACTCAACAAATATGTTTGCACCTAGTCAAATGATACATCAAAATAAACATAACTGTATATAGAACAGGAAAATATTGAAAAATGTGCAGTTATTTACATACATTCCATAATATTTGTACATTTGGATCATAACATCCGATATTGAAAAAAACATTTAAAAAAAATAATTTTGAAAAAAGGATCACAATCAGAAAAAAATATACGTATTTTATATGGAATTATTCAGAATTGCGTTTGGAATTAACCTACACATGTCTTGAGTGGTACTTTTTTTTTAGTAATTTCACCCAAAAGTAGTGATTTTGGGGAGAAAAAAAATATTTTGACTATTTAGATCTAGGCGTAGATCTAGCACTCAAAAATATTGATTTCTCAATTACAGTGCACCGATAATTTGCGTCCTATAGTATCAATATTATAAAGAAGAGTCCTACATTTCTTTAGTGGGCAAAATAGTGATAGATTTAGTTGTGTAAAAGTACTAAGGCTGGTGTCTGGGTATAATTTTGGCTTCATGATAAAACAAAGTCGAATAAACTACGAAATCGTGTTTCAAAACTGAATCAAAATTTCCGATTTTCGGTGGAAACGCTTGACCCGGAAGGCAACTTTATATTATGACCCTTATTTTAACATGGATATGTGGATTGGAATAGAAACCAAGCTAAAATTGAACGTCGGTTCTCAAGCCGCCTGGGACGGCTTAGCGTACTGACGGCACTTTAGCCGCGCCGCCCCCCACGGCTCGGCGTAGCGAATGAGTTAATTATTGACAACCTATTGGAAGGGGATAGTGAGATATAATGTGAAAAACAGCTGTATAGTTAAGAGATTTGAATAGCAATCTTGAATTGGAGAATGACTCAGATTCTTGATTTTTGTTCCCCCATAGCCCACCCCCCTTTATACTACATACACCATGCACACACACACACACACACACACACACACACACACACACACACACACACACAAACACTCACACACACACACATAAACACACACACATAAACACACACACACACACACACACGCACACACACACACACACACACACACAAACAGGCACACCATACACACACACACCCACCAACAAACACTCTCAAATTTTTGTATTCACCTTTCCCCTCAGGACTGCCCGGTGTGGATGGTTTGCCAGGTCTCCCTGGCCTTGGAGGCGATGATGGCCTACCTGGCCTCCCAGGACGTCCCGGTGGACGTGGCCTGCCAGGATTTGCTGGTGAGAGAGGATTTGATGGGGAGGCTGGCCAGCCAGGTGACGATGGTTTCCCTGGACGCCCCGGAGTGGATGGCCCCCCAGGACCCCCAGGTACAACACACAACAATTTTGTTTGTTAGGGTTTTTTTTGTTAGATTAATTCCCTATCTCCGGCAAGCCACTCCCAGCGGCTCGCGGTCGGAATCACTGTGCCGATGAACCATTGGCCGTGGCTTGGGTACATACCTTTATGACGACTTCGACGCCAAATTACTTTTCAGCAATTGCCCAAAACAAGTCTCTTTTACCGGGATTTCATTCGTTAGATGAAAAATAATAGAAATAGGTTCACTTGTTTCATTTAGTGACAAATTTAGTAACATATTTGTCAATTTTAGATTTTGTACCAAAAGAGGGCCCCGTCTCAGAGTTTAAAAAGTCACACTGACACAATTAAATTACAGTCTTCTAATGCAAGGAACAGGTAAGACATCTATACAGGATCAATAGATCAATAGGGATGGGGGGAAGAAAAGAGATAGGACCTACCAGTGGCACCCTCTGACGACCCACACAGTTTAAAAGTTGCTGAATGCATAATATTATGCTTGCAAGAGTCAGGGTGTTTTAAATAGCATTGCATTTCATGCTACTAAGATTTTGTTAGTTTTTAACACTTTTCGGTCACTTGGCTCTATAATGCGCGGGTGAAAATTATCCGTTCCGGTCACCTGGTGCACTTCTGTGCCAGGCCCAAGAAGTCGGTTGCAGTCGCTCTCCTGGCTCGGTGACCAGATGGGGTATTTTGTACTGCTGGCTGTGTGACTGCAAAGTGTTAAATAAATGGCTTGCAGCACTGATGGTACCATAATTTGATAAAAGAAATAAAAAGAATATATTAAGGGTATATTTGTTGCTGAAAGGGGGATATTTGTTGCTGGGAAAAAATACTAAGGAAAATTCCTATATGCCTATGCGGGTCGTACTTTCAGTCAAGCTGGTTTCAAGATGTTTGTTGGTTTTTTTTTGGGGGGGAGGGGTTGTCATTCGATGATTGAAAATAAATTCTTCTCTTTAAATCATTCAAGCCAAGTATGTTAACATTCACTCAAGCCCACAGACAAACATTTCTGAAAACCTTAATCTCTTTTTTCTTTCTTCATTTGTTTGTGTCTGTCCCTTCATTTTTGTTTGTTTCTGTCTTTTCGTTTGTTTGTGTCTGTGTTTGTGTCTGTTTTTTCATTTGTTTTTGTCTGTTCCTTGATTTGTTTGTTGCTGTCCCTTCATTTAATTGCTTTTGTTTGTTGCTGTGTGCAGGTCGCCCTGGCATGCCTGGCGTGGATGGTATCCCTGGTCTCCAGGGTATGGATGGTCAGAGAGGATTTATGGGAGAGGACGGCCGCCCTGGAAACCCCGGCTTCCAAGGACAGAAGGGAGAGCCTAGTGTTGCCCCCGATGGACCCAAAGGTTTCCGAGGAGAATCTGGATTTGATGGACTCCCAGGTTGGATTAAATTAAAGACCCATAAAGTTGCTTTCTGTATAGAATTTCTTTTGATTGGTTGGTTTCCCAGATCGGTTTAGATTTTAAAACCTGAAGTTTCTTTCTGTGTAGGAGTCTTTCTGTATACGACTCTTTCTGCTTGGACAGCCTTCCAGTTTAGTTTAGATTAAAAAGATCAATAGCTGTTTTCTGTATAAGAGTCCTTCTGGTAAAACAATCTGTCAAGTCTTTGCTTTCTGTTGAAGAGCCCTTTTGATTGGAAAATATCTTAAGTTGGTTTTGTTTTTTTGTTTTTTTTAAACCCCAAAAACAACATAAGCTGCTCATTGTATTATAGTTCTTTTGACGGGACTGCTTCCCAGATCATTTTGGTTTAAAAAAACAAAAGCTGTTCTCTGAATAACAATTGTTTGGTAGAAGAGACTGCTGAAAACAATAGTGAACATTTTTGGAACACTTCAGTACGTTCTGCTTTTGTTGTTGGTTTCCTCTTTGGGTTTATTATTGTTTATTGAACATATAAATAAAACATTTAACAGTGCGTTTGAGTGTGGGATGTGTGTATGTTTGTTGTGTGTATGCATGTGTGTGAGAGAGAGAGAGAGAGAGAGAGAGAGAGAGAGAGAGAGAGAGAGAGAGAGAAAGAGAAAGAGAGAGAAAGAGAGAGAAAGAGAGAGAGAGAGAGAGTCAGGATAAATGGAAATTTTTTTCATCCAAAGGAAGACAAATGAACACACTTTAAGATGATACCAATAACTCTACATGCCCCAAAATTAACGAGAGCCTGATTCCACCACATTGGGACACAAATACAAACTTCAACAATAGATTATAAGTAACATGGATTGGCTGGGGTTTCTTATATTTCTGTTTACACCATAAATAACTGAGCAGTGTTAAATGTCATGTTCAACTGATGTGTCGGGCTAATGGTTTTGACAGTTTGTCAGCTGAACTGTTACATTGTATACTGAGAGTTGAGGTTCGGTTCCTGTTTCTCACTCCGTCAGGTCGTCCTGGTGCCAAGGGTGGTGCTGGCCAGCCTGGCCTGCCAGGTTTTAACGGTGAGCGTGGAGAAAATGGCCTTCCTGGTCTGCAAGGAGAGCCTGGATTTGACGGAGAGAGAGGACGTATGGGAGAAGATGTAAGTTCTGTGTAGAGGGTAAATGTTTATGTGCTTGTCTCTCTCTCTCTCTCTCTCTCTCTGTCTCTTACTATCTTTATCTTATGCACATGTCCTCAGTCTCTATCTCTGTTTCTGTCTGTCTGTCTGTCTGTCTGTCTGTCTGTCTGTCTGTCTGTCTGTCTGTCTGTCTGTCTGTCTGTCTGTCCGTCCGTCCGTCCGTCCGTCCGTCCGTCCGTCCGTCCCTCTCTCTCTCTCTCTCTCTCTCTCTCTCTCTCTCTCTCTCTCTCTCTCTCTCTCTCTCTCTCTCTCTCTCTCTCTCTCTCTCTCTCTCTCTCTCTCTCTCTCTCTCTTACTTCCATACAAAAAAAATCTTACACAAACAAGTTACTTGTTAAAGAATGGCATGAACAAAAAATCCATATTGAAAGAAACTGAGAATCAAATTACAAATCTCTTAAAGCTCTATAAGTGAGTGAAAACAATTTTAATCTTGTTACAAGTTGTTAAACATGTTAAATCAGGCTTGATACGAGATATTATACATTATGTTGAATCAGTCTTGATACGAGATGTTGTTATACATTATGTTAAATCAGTCTTGATACGAGATGTATGAGACATAACTATCCATTTATCTTGAGCCCCAGTGTACTCATTTCCATCGGGTCTGAAAAGTTCAGGATCTATTGTTTTTTTCAGTAGGTGCCTGTGGATAAAGATGTGTAAGAATTGAGTTTCGAAAGGGTTACCCTACCAAGTAAAGGGGCTTTATTTGGGGTATGAAACACTGGCAACATGGGAAGCAGGTGCTCATCGGTTCTTCTTTGGATGGGAGGCATGGATATGTGTATCATAGGTGACTTATAGTAAAGCTTTCGGACTCTCAACCTGAAGATCATGGGTTCAAATCCTGTCACAGGCTTAATGTTGCTCTCTTGAAAAAGACACTTTATTTGAATTTTATTATTATTACTATTATTATTGCAATAATGTTTATCTTTTTGCCTCTTCTTTTTTTAACCTATGTGCCAGGGTCTACTGAGGTAATAATACTAATTGTAAAGTGCATAGAGCAAGCTATAAAGCATGGACATGTGTTGTATAAATGCAGTTGTTATCTTCATATCAAATTATTATATTTATCTTTTTGTCTCTTCTTTTTTCCCCTCCTTGTGCCAGGGTCTGCCCGGATTGGACGGCCTTCCCGGTATGATAGGTATGCCTGGCGAGGATGGACTTACTGGTCTGCCCGGACCCAAAGGTTTCAGAGGAGAATCTGGCTTCACTGGACTGAGAGGACGTAAAGGAGAGGCTGGTTTTCCAGGTACGAGTAATTTATTCAGCAGCACTTTAAAATTAGTCTAGTCACTAAGCCTGGTTCTTCCGGTATTAGGTTATAGAGTTGAGATTTTTAAAAGTTTTCCTACCAGTGTTTTATTCTATAGCTTAAACTATAAAAATAGTAATAAGGATAATAATAATAATAATGATAATATATCATCATTATTATTATTATCATTGTTATTACTATTATTATTGTTATTATCATTATTATTACTGTTGTTATTATTATTACTGTTATTGTTATTATTTTTTAAAAATTATTGTTATTAATACTATTATTATAATTGTTATTATTGTTGTTGTTATTGTTATTATTATTATTATTATTATTATTATTACTATTATTATTTTATTATAAATCTATTATTATGACTTGTTATTACCTTGGCCTTGTTACCCAGGTCTGAAGGGTGCGGACGGAGTCTCCGGTGCCCAGCAAATTGTGGAAGGACGGAAGGGAGAGGGCGGAGAGAACGGCACAAATGGCGGCCCTGGTATTCCAGGACTGCCAGGAGATAATGGTAAGTCAGACAAAATGGATAGTGGAGGATGGGGTTTGGGGGGGGGGGGGGGGTTGGCGAGGAAAGGGGTGGGGGGCAAGGTGAGGTTTGGAGATGGCATTAGATGGATTTGAATCCCTAGTGTTGAGTCTTGAAGACACCCACATGGCTTGACACTGTTAGACAAGGGCATTAGATGAGGAAATTGTAGCTCTTTAAATCAAAAGTTATTACATGGCAGGGTAAAAATCCACGACTGTGCTATTCAAATTATTGTCTGCCTTGCAGACGTACTGGGGTGCTCACTTTGAGCAGAATTATGTTGCTTGTATTTTATCAAATTATATGGTCATATTATATAGGCCCATTAAACTGAAGGAAAATGAACGAAGATTTTGGAAAAGTGAATAAAACTAAAATAATGAATGGTAACGGAAAATAATTGTATGCCCAGCCAACCTGTGAGCTAAAACCAGAGATTGTTGGCACTTTGGTGATGCATCATGAATTGGCACAGTAGCAGTAATTTATATCCAATGGAATGAGTTGGTAACCTACAGGGGAATTAAGCCAGTTCTGCACAGTACCGAATGAGTGACCATCTTGTAGAACAACTTTTGTTTGTGCCTGACATCATTTCCTCTCTCCATCTCTTCTGTATGTTACTCTAACTTGACACCTTTCCTCTTCCCATCTTTTTTAAAAGTAGGTTTGCTCTATAGGTTACCTTTACGTATTTCCTGTTCCCAACTTATTTTACAAGACACATGTCCTAATCCCATCTTCTGAATAGGCTACCGTGACATATTTCTTCTTCCCATCTTTCCTTTAGGTTAACCAGACATATTTTCTCAACTCATGTTCTCTGTTGATTACCCCAACACATTTTCTTATCCCATGTTCTCTGTTGATTACCCTGACACATTTTCTCATCCCATGTTCTCTGTTGATTACCCTGACACATTTTCTCATCCCATGTTCTCTGTTGATTACACTGACACATTTTCTCATCCCATGTTCTCTGTTGATTACCCTGACACGTTTTCTCATCCCATGTTCTCTGTTGATTACCCTGACACGTTTTCTCATCCCATGTTCTCTGTTGATTACCCTGACACATTTTCTCATCCCATGTTCTCTGTTGATTACCCTGACACATTTTTCTCATCCCATGTTCTCTGTTAATTACCCTGACACATTTTCCCATCCCAAGTTCTCTGTTGATTACCCTGACACATTTTCTCATCCCATGTTCTCTGTTGATTAACCCCGACACATTACAATCTTCTCTTTAGGCGATCCAGGTCCTGAGGGCCGTAAAGGTTTTCCAGGTTTTGACGGTGACCGCGGCTTCCCTGGTCTCCCCGGAAACAATGGTCGCCCAGGTCTGCCAGGCATGAACGGCCTTGATGGACTTCCAGGTTTACCTGGCAACCGTGGTTTCCCTGGTGACGCAGGAGGCGCAGGTGGTCCAGGCACAGGTCCTGGCATTATCTTCACCAGGCGAGTTCTATTTGGCAAAACGCCACTCCAGGTTTTTTGCCCAAACTCTTGAATTTGTCAAAATGCTGTAGTTTGTTCACTCTGTAATTTTTATGGGTAGTAAAAATAGCATTTTTATTGATAGTCCACGGGAGGAGCTACCCTTGAGGACCATTTTCTATGTCTGTTGCCCAAGATCAAATCTAAGTACACATATAAGTAAGGCATAGTAAAATCTCTTGATATGCCATTTTATTTTGGCATAGCAACAGCAGTTGCTATGGAGATGGCCGCCATCTTGAAAATAAACAATGAATTTCAGATCCCTAAGGCTTTCTTATTTACCGACCAAATTTGACCAAATGTGGTGAGAGTATACCTGAACCAGACCCTATCAGAGTAACAGCAAGCTTATTTCAATAAGTGCAAAAGAAAAAAATATATGAGAATTTTCCCAAAGTATAAAAAACTTTTTAAAAATTTAGATTGCGTAATCGCTTGCCAATGGAAAAGTGTTATTGTTTTCGCAAATATCTCTCAGTTACATTAATGGCAGCCTTGCCATCTATGTCTCCTGAAAGTTTCATTTCAAAATGATGAAAACTAAGGAAGGAGTAGGGAAAAAACTGCAAACAAATTTCATTTTGCGAAAACTGACTATTATTGTGAAAATTCACTATATTAACCCGTCGTCATGTTTTCAAAGGCAATTTACGTGGAGAATAAACACTTTCTCAAATGTATCCATGCTATTTTTGGACAAAAAACTGGTTGATCTTCAAAAATCAGCCAACAGAAAATTTGCATAGCCTGACCCAAAATCTGCCAAATCAAGGGTCGCTCCTCCCCTTAGGATAGACTTGGAAAGAGGTAAATAGGACTTTTTATTTTTTTAAATACTTTTGAGTGCTCAGATGGATTCTCCGAGGCACTCATTTTTCAAATAAACTTGGAAATCTACATTTCTGACATTGTTCAGATTTTTCCTTTTTTTCAGGTACTATATAGTAAAAAAGATCTTGATGCAAGATGTAAACAGTTAGATAAAAAAAGAGACAAATGGCATTTTCGAAATTTGGCTGAAACTAGTACTGTCATATCTAGAAAGCTGAGGCACATGCCAGAGTCAACTTCTTTATTCACAAAATGTGATTTTTTTTTTCTTCTTTAAAAAAGTGCAGTAAGACAATGCTTTAGAAAAAAATGATGATAGAGGTCAACCTTTTTTTTTAATAAACCAAAACATATCCCCTGTATGCCAATCAAGTCCTTTTTTCCAGTCGTGTGACTTCATTTGTGGTCGATAAAAGTTTATCGATGTTTTTTTCCATTTATAATTCTTTAAATAAGTCATTAATTATGCATCAATGTTTCTCCTATTTAAAATTTGCTTTCTATATATGTTCAGTTAGAAGAATATAGATAACGTTTTTTTTTTAGCTGAATAAAATTAAAAAATAGTTTTTCAGAAAGAAAAAAAAACAGGATGTGAGAAAATTAAATCAGTGTATTTGACTTTCTGATAAGCACAGTTTTACAGAAGTCACTCAATCTGTTAGTTTTGTTGTCATTTTTAAGGAAGTTCTATTAGAACTTGAATAACAATCATGTTAAGGTCTGACCTAAAGCTGCTTTTCAAAAAATTAATATTACTTGATAAAGATCTGTCTCTGTTTATATAAAAGCAATGGATGCTTCTTTAAATTCACTTTTAATGGATCCCAAACCTTGTTGCACAGGAGTTTACTTATGAAAATAAATTTCTGTCTTTGGTACATCCTGTTTCGAATATTATGAAACACGATTACTTTTTTTCTGTATAATTCATCAAAATGCTCTTTATTCTTTTTGCAGACATAGCCAGGATTCTCTGGTCCCTACCTGCCCATTTGGCACCTCCTTGCTGTGGGAGGGTTACTCTCTGCTCTTTGTGATGGGCAATGGACGCTCACATGGACAAGATCTTGGTACGCTTTGGGTCCAACCGAACAGTTTGAAGACAAATAACATTTTTAAAGTTTGGCCAAAATTAGAACTGTCATATGTAAAAAGATTGAGCCCATTCCAGAGTAGAAATTGTTTTCCCATATTGCACAATTTTCTTCTTTAAAGAACTGCAGAAAGTGATGCTCTCTTTACAAAACACGGAAAAACCGGTATATTTTTTTGACAGAATAGAACATATCCTGTAAGCACCGACCAAGTTCTTTCCTGGAGTCATGTGACTTTGCTTTTGGTCGATAAAAGTTTGTTAGCGGTTCTTTTCCTCCCTCTTTATTGTAATGTGGATATGTTGTGTTTTGGTCAAAAGTGAGTGGAGATCTCATCAATTAATAGGATAAGAATCCAACGTGGATGACAATATACATCGAATATCAACTTTGCCATGCATCATGTTTACATGTTTACTCTAAAAACAAAGTTGCTCAAGATTATTCATATATGAGATAACTGGAGAAATGAATGTCATGTTTTGTAGGGAAACTGTTCAATTCCTGCTCTTGTTTGTTGTTTTCTTTTGGTTGCAAAGAGAAATGCCACTTGATTCATTCCCCACCATGAACCAGAAAATGCGCTATGAGAGAGAGAGAGAGAGAGAGAGAGAGAGAGAGAGAGAGAGAGAGAGAGAGTGTGTGTGTGTGTATGTGTGTGTGTGTGTGTGTGTGTGTGTGTGTGTGTGTGTGTGTCCTGAAAATGTAGACAACAATAAAGTTTGTCATGGTCAATATTAGTTACCAACCCATGTCTTGCCATACTGTCTTTTTCCCCTTATTCTTCAAAATCTTCCTTGTATATTTTTCCTATTTTTCAAAGGTCTTCCTTGTATTTGTTCCCTTTTTTAAAAACATATTTTCCCTCTATTTTTTTTTTTCATACTCTAAAGATTTTTCCCTAAACGTTTTCCTATTTTTCAAATGATCTTTTTGAAAAACCCTCCCAGTATTTTTTTCTGTTCATCAAATATCCTCTCTGTATTTTATTCCAATTTTTTCAAAGATCTTCCTTGTGTTCTTTCCAGGCACCGCTGGTTCCTGTCTTCGTCGCTTCCACCCGATGCCCCTGATGTTCTGTAACATCAACAACGTGTGTAATGTGGCCACACGTTCAGACTACAGCTACTGGCTGAGCACACCACAGCCCATGACCAACATGATGCAGCCAGTCAGTGGGGAGCAGATCCGACCCTACATTAGTCGCTGTGCCGTTTGCGAGACACCATCACCTGTAAGATCTTATTGTTGTTGGTGTTGTTGTTGGTCCAGTCAAAAATACTTTTAAATGTGGATTTTATGGAAAAATGTTGATTAAAGGCACGTCAAATTCAAATTTTCAGTTTCCAAGGATTCTTAAGCTATCTGTCCTGGTGGTTTTATGCACTCCGCATAATTTAGCAAAATTTGATTATTTTTTGCATAATTTCTGATTATTTTCCTTTATCATTCTTTGTTAAAATTAACAGAATTGTATAATTTCACATTTTTGGGTTCAGTTTGCATAATTTCAGATTTCTTTTTGCATAAAACAATGGGGATAGAGCTATGGAAGTCACCAAACTTTGGGGGCTCGCTAATTTTACCTCTGAAACCAGACGACCCTAGAAAGGCAAATGAACAACCTTTAAGATGATACCAATAACTCCATATGCCAAAAAAATTGACGAATGCCTGATTTTGCTGTGTTATGACACATACTGTTGTGGTTGTCTTTGACCCCTTGTTGTTTTCTCCCCTCAGATCATCGCTGTCCACAGTCAGACTATGATGGTACCCGAGTGTCCAGCTGGATGGTCAGATGTCTGGATTGGCTACAGCTTTGTTCTGGTCAGTTTCTTGTCACTTCTTATTTTCACATCTCTTTAAGTAACAAACATGCAGGCAAAAAAAGAAACAAAATAAAACAAAAAAAGAAACAAAATAAAACAAAAAAAGAAACAAAATAAAACAAAAAAAGAAACAAAATAAAACAAAAAAATTTTAAAAATTGGGATGGAATTTTACTGAAGACATCAGGAATTATTCCAGAATTCTCACTTTTGATTCATTAAGATAACATTTCCTTTAGGCTTATTCTGTTGCCTCAATCCAAATATTGTTTTGCATATATGTGGCCTCATATCATTTTTTTTTGTCACCTGTTGCTAATTGTAACAATAATCAGCCTCATATCACATCTTTTTCATATTGCTTCATTGCCTGTTGTTGCAAGGTTGTGGTAGGCAGGTATTCTGGTGTGGTTTGCTCCTTCTTTCCTATCGAACATCTGTCATCCTTATGTCATCTCTTTTTCTTTCAAGGTTACTCTCTGGTAACACCTCCAATCATCCGCACAACTGTGACGTATTTGTGTTTCAAGTACTGTAAAACTGTCATGTAAACTTTTTAAAAAGCCTCATTTCACATCTTTTTTTTTTTTCCTGTTTCCCTCACAGAGCACTGGTGCTGGAGCTCAGGGTTCTGGCCAGAGCTTGGAGTCTCCTGGCTCCTGTCTCGAGGCGTTCCGCTCCCAGCCATTCATCGAGTGCCACGGACGAGGCACCTGCAACTACTACGCCACCTCCCACAGTTTCTGGATGTCCACCATTGAGAGGGACGACCAGTTCCGTCGCCCACTGCAAGAAACGCTCAAGGCTGGGGACCTGAGGAGGAGAATAAGCCGATGTGTTGTATGTATCAAAGACAACACGACCGGGCCCCAATTCTTTAGGATGGTGAAAAAGTAACATTTTAGAGTGTCGTCACACATCTTAGGGTTTCTTTGTACTTCATTTAAGATTTTTTTTCTCCGTCATTGGGTTTTGGTTTGGTTTGTTGTTTGTTTGTTGAGCTTGGCAGTAATATTACTAAGTGATGTCCATCACTTTGTGGATCTTTCTTCTGGTCGAAGACGGCTGACACTTTCATCTCATTGTGCTTTTTTCTTTTGTTAAAAATGAGTCACATTTAGATGTCATAGATATCATGCACTGCGGTTACATCAGCCGGGCATGCCTTCTTCTCAAGTTTCCAATTTCGATGAATTACAATGTGATTATTGTTATTATATCAATCAAACATGTCGCTCTGCAAAGAATTGATTTGAAAAAGATAAAAGAGTTCTGGAAAATGAATTTTCTTACCAAAACCAAAAATATGAACTTGAGTTGCAAAATTGGTGTCTTTATAAATGATGTAATGATCATTTTGAACTGAGACAAATAAAAACTTGCATTTCAGAGTTCTAGAAGTTACAAATTATGTATATTTTTATCATCTGGTGTGGAAGAAGGCATGTAGTTGAGAGAGATACCGTCCAGAACATGTACTATTTTCCTCTCCCGGTTAGAAAGTACACATGCGTTCAACCAGCTGGCTCAACAGGGGTCTTGTCTAGTCATAACTGCGTATGTCTGAGACTGATGTGAATGAGGAAAACACAAAACATAAAATTTATAACTGATGTATGTGTGAGTGGCATGGGAATATTGGAATTTCCGCATTGTATACTTGCAAATCTGATTTCGCGATGGTGCTACTTTTTTTTTGTATTATTAAATCTGTGAATGGATTCATTCATGTATTTAAAGGTGCTTCATATTTTTGTCTGTTACCAGCATATATATGGTCCTCTGTACATTTTGATCAAGCATTTTCTGAATTCTTTTTTCCAAAGATTAAATGTGTTGTAGTAGTCAGTATAATCTTGCTGTCAAATTTTAACCTAATTCTTTCTCTAATGATCAATTCTGTTGTGTTTAGTAATCTTGAAAAGTGATCATGGTACGATGTTGGTCTAAAGAAACATGCAGCACCAGCAAAGTGCCTTGGGGAAAATGTGCTCTTTCTAGATGCAGCAATTGACCTGCCCCTGAGCTATGCACCAAGAATTGCCATAGGACAATCAATAACAACTTGAAGACATTTATTCGTACTGTATTGTTTTTGCTTGTTTTAACAATTCTTCTATTTTGTCAGTTCTCTGATCTGCTCATTTTAATTTCAGTTAAATCTGTGCCTTATCGTATACATACATATATATAGATATATATAAATGTATATTTACATGCAAAATGTAATAGAAATATGGAAATCGAATGACTGAATTTTTTAATGGTTGAAAAGAAAGGAATGTTTAAAAAAAAATAGTCTATAAGATTAATTAAGAAGGAACAGAAAATAAAAGTGACAGTAAAATCTGCAGACTTTCTGTAGAAGACAGCGTTATCTCTGGCAAGGGACACTTGTGCAATTTGTACAGAAATGCTTGGAACTTTTTCCACTCATTATCAATATCACATATTCTGATATCATTACTGTACTGTAAAAAGTCTGAATTTCTCCTCGAAAAGATTGCTGTTGGTTGAAATTTTTACTTCAAATCTGGAATACTGAACACAAATTTCTGTTTGCATACGTGTTCTTTGAAATACTCAGTTAGCTTTGTGCTGTTAATCTGAAATTTTTAACATAGTGTTGCCCCGCTGTGAGATAAGCCAGCTGACCTTAGCATAACTGAATAAATAAACTTTTGAGGATGAACGCATCTTTGTAGATTGCTGAATAAACATCTATCAGCCTTATCTTCTGTGTGATACATTACACCTTCTGTACACATCTGTACACTTTCTGCTTTATTTCTATAACTGTTACGGTATAGAAATCATGACTTCTCCACCTGTGTTGACACGACCAGTAAAGATTGGAATTGTAGTGTAGCTGTTTTGCCTCCCCTTCGACACAATTTAGATAATTTAGGAGCCAAGCTGCTTCAACCCTCCCTATCAGGTTTTGAAAAAATTTGTAAGTTTTACAGCACTTGTAACACAATGAAGTCATATAAGTGCCAAAGATTAGTAGAGTACCCGCTAACCACCTGCTCCCTATTGGGGCCAACCCAGGCTGACAGGGATACAACAACCCAGCAGACAGAGATACCGGTACTCAAGTTTTTAGTTTTTTTTAAAAACCCACTCAACACAGGAAGAGAACTTGCTAGATCTGCAACACCACAGATACCTGTGCATGACCTGAGTGAGACAAAATGTATCTCCCTTTGTTCATGAAATTTCTCAAAGGAAAATGCTTATAATATTGGAAGCTTCCAGCTTTTGAACCTTAGTTCCTGGAGCTGACATGATCCCTGCACAGAAGTCTCCATTGGTCAAGTGTTTTTAGTTCAAGTTTTACAGCATTTGCAACACAAATAGGTCATATAATAAGTGAGGAAGATTAGAAGTATTACTAGCAGAGAGTAACAAATAGTAACATACAAAGAAAAGAAGGAGCAAAGATTAGGATGATAGTGATAGATGCTTGATTGGAATTGGAAAGGAGGAGAAACATGCACCAGAGCACCTGCCAACCACCCACTTGGTCAACTACTAGATTTACATCACCACTTGCTGAGGTACACATCTGATTAAAAACAAAATACAGTGAAGTCTGTTTAATCCTTTGAACCCATGAGACTGGTGGCGCACAAAACTGCTGTATCGTATGCCTAGCCACTGGTATACCGTTGAGCGAGACCCTTCCACTAGCCTAGCCCGCATGGGACAAAACGCACACGAAAAACAGTGTTTACTGCACCCTAAGTGGGATATATGGATTTTATGAATGTTAGTAACATATCGCTCAGGAGCTTAGACAGAGGGGCACGATAGCCTCAGGTGGTCAGAGCTCAAAAGGTTAAACCAAACAATCCCTTTTTTTCCTTCCATTTCAGCAACCTCTCTTAGCCGAAGAAAATCCAAGTATCCCGCTATTTCAGTTTGAGCGGACTCCACTGTACTAGACATCAAGAAATGTTAAAAACGGAAACCAATGACACAAGAAAGTTTCTGTTTGTTTACAAGTATTTAGCTGTTTTTATTTTCAATACGACATGTGAACAAAAACACAATAAGAGCAGCTCTCAGTCTAATTCAGTCATTTCATTCAAGGAGATTCAGATCTAGCTCTTGTGCAAGCATTACAATCAAGACCTGCAGCTAAACAGACATGCAATCGGTGGTCAGAATCAGTAACACAGCTGTGCAAAATACAAATGCTTACAGCAAGGCTGAAGACACCAAACATTTTTCCTTTAATCAAATGTGACTTGACCTATACAGTGTTCACACACAAAAACACAGCACACACAAGTCTCTTATCACCAGAGCAAAACAAGGAAGAACAACAGCCTGCCAAGCACAGACCACACTGCCAGCTCAGTCACTAAACTCTAACCACATGATGAGCAACAGCAACAGTCATTACACAAGTCAAAACAGTACCATGTACGTCAAAACAGTCTCACAACATGTTATAATAACAATCTCCACACGTTTGATCCAAACTTCTCCTCATACCAAATGACAACTTGGGTCTTCACTAGATACATTATTTTACAAACTTCTGCATTTTCAGAAGTACAAAAGACATCCTCTTCCATTCCACATTCATTTTCAAGAGAAGTTCTCAAGAAGTTCACGTTGAGCGTTTGTCTTGCAGCATCCGAACACATTACCATAACTTTACTTACACTATGGCTTCACATTAATTCAGGCACTCTTTTAAAACCACTGGCACGATACAAAAATCATGTTGTCCATTCTGTGTGTGCCTTCTTACAGACTTCCTATATAGAGGTTCTCCCTTGCAATAATCGATATATATATATATACTAAAAATAGCAATCAACAAAGGGAGTAATCATAGAATTTAAAAACTCGTGACACTTTCTCCCCATATAAAAAAAAATAATTGAATCTTGTCTTTAAAAACAAAATTCTTTAATCTAACAACCCCATTCATTGCAACATTGCAAGACATCAAAATGAGACCACGGCAATCTTATGCTTATGAAAATCTGCACTGACCTCCACTCACTTCCAGATAAAGACAAACTACCACACCACTGATGTACCAAGCATACTTTACAGAGATACACAATTCAATGTCTTGGCCACAATTGCTGGCAACCACACATCCATCCACTGCTGACACTATCTTGCAATTCTCTCCTGGGCAAGTTTTAGGTGGAAACCAGCCTACAGAATCATTTGTGTGGCATCATTGTGAAATAGATGCTTGTCAAAATAATGAAATCGTAGAAAACTGCTTTTTTCAACCCTTTGGTTAATTTTTATCAAACCTTTTTTTCGTGGCTCGACACATTCATGTCTATTTATAAACATATTCCTGTGTGGATTTTACAGACAAAGTTGATGTTGATCAAAGGCATAAAAAAATGCAAATTTGCTGTTTTCAAAGACAAGCAAGCTTTGGAAGTTGCCAAACTTTGTCAGCTATTTTCTAGTGAATTTTACTTCTCACACCAAGCAACCCCTCCCTCCTTTAATAGCAGATAACATTTCGACTTTTATTCATGACAGATATGGGTATCTTTTAAAATCAAAAGCAAGACAAAAGAACATGTTTTCGGGTGATACCAATAACTCCATATACCCAAAACTTGACAAGCGCCTAAATATATTGTGTCCTGACACATTTCTCAAAATCTTTTCTTAATTTGACTCTCGGCCCAACTTTGCAGGCAATCATTTAACACTTTATTACAAAGTACACTACAAACAGTAACGCTTTCAATCTCTGTGCTTGCGTGACCTGTGCTTCTTTCTCTCTCTCCCTGGACTCCGAGACCCTCCACGCCTTGGTGATCTTGACCTTGACCGTGACCTCTTGGAACGTTTCGGGCTGTGGACAGAGACATCAGAGATCAGCATTGGCAAAGAGCAAAAAGACAATTTCTCTCACCCCTGTGTGGAAGTCCAATGTTATGATGACATGCTCTGTACACTTATAATAGAAAGTTACAAGTTGATTACAACAATGACTATTTAGCAGACCAAGGAAGTTACAAATTGATTACAACAATGACTATTTAGCAGACCAAGGAAGTTACAAATTGATTACAACAATGACTATTTAGCTGACCACGGCCTGGTACCACACAAAGATGAGATATCGGCTGAGCCCTGATCCCGAACATAGACAGGATCAGATTTTCACATTTTTATCCAAAGACGATCTAATAATGCCATTCTTATAATTTTTGTACGCAGCATTAGCTTAATAATTTTCCTAATGGAGATTTCCAAAATACAGAAGTAATTTAGAAACTACTTTCACTTTGGAGGCCTACTAGAGGCCTGCAGACCCAATTATGTCTTTTCACTTCGCTTATTATCATTAAAAAATTATAGATCTGGGAATGGTTGAGACCTTAACGAGCGCTGCCTAGCCCTCATATTCTTGTGTTCTAATAATCTATTTTTGGTATTACTTTCTGTCACATTCAATGAACAGAAATATTTTCTGAAATTGGATCTAGAGCAGTATCAAAACATTTTGTGGAAAATAAAGTTAGAAAAATAACCTAGTAAAATGAAAAGTATTATAAAGAGAAGAAATAAATGTATCATTATTTGAGTGAAAAATGATGGCACAACCGTCATATTCACATGCTTGAGAAGTTTTGAAAAAGTGTGAAAATGGCCAGTACTGATAGACCATTGAGATTGCGGACTGGCTAGGACTCCGCGAGTTAAAGTACGGCCAAACATGCTCTAACGACTATTTGTCCAAACCAATCTTCTGCTCAAAAGACCACTTCCCACTGCTTATTGACAAGTGTCCGATTACACCATGTCGGGATATATTGTACCAAACATGGGCAAGTTTTCAATTTGAAACCATGTTCACAGTATTTTCCAACCTTCTTTCATCGCTATTATCAAATATGAGGTGTTCACAGACTATATTGCTTCAACACTTCAAAGTAAGTTTATTCTCTGCTGTGTCAATAGAAAGTCTAATCAAGACTGAAAGGACACTACATATCATACAAAAAATATGTGTCAACCTCGATATAAAGGAAAACACTAATGCAAAATACCTCTTCCATATGTGTGCTCTTTTGCATGGTCTCCAGGTTTCTATTTCAGTTTTAGTACGAGTTTTACGGCACTTGCAACACAATACGGTCAAATAAGTGCCAAAGATCAGAGTTGTTACAAGAGAATAACAAACACAAAAAAAGAAAGAGGAGAGATCAGGACGATAGATGTTTGGTAGGAAAGAAGGAGTGAACCACACCAGAGCACCCGCCAACCACTCACATTTCTATTTCAAAGAACCTAGATTTCTTGTTCTTAAACAATCTTGCAGACCTACATAAATGTCTAAGACAACGGTTTTTCTCCTCAACAAATGGTGGTCATCACAAACAATTTCGACTGTACCTTCTGTCCTTGTCTTTCTTCTTCCTCTTGGGTGTGTCTGAGCGGTCAGATGACCTATCCCTGCGCAGTGGAGAGCTTGACCGTGACCTGTACCTTTTCTTGCCCGCACTGTCGCTTCGTTCACGGTCCGTCTGAGGGGAGTCCATTGGGTCCAGGAACTGAGGAAGCCCAGAACAAGAAATGAGGAACAACACGATAAATTTGAGTTGCTTGTTGCACTGGGCTGTTCTTAAATACAGTTGAAACTGTTGAAAACGAACACCCCTTGAGGAGGACAAAAGTTATAATTTTAGACCTATATTGATGTCTTGGATAAGTTAGTTCAGTTTAGTATAGGGTTTTACGGCTCTCGCAACAGCATAAGATGTCTTGGATAATGTTGCTGTAATGTTGACCAAACACTCAAGGGGGGAGGAGGAGTGGAAAGTCATTGTCTGTACATGTCATTGCCTTAGACAGGTGGCCATTAGAGTGAGGTTTCTAGTTAAAGATAAGGTTACTATTTAAAAACCAAAAACCCGATACTTGCATCCTCAATATAGCAGGCTTTTGGTTAGTGCAATAAAAATCAGATTATTAGACTTCACAACTCAATGCATTAAATCTTTGTTGTTTCTCTCCGTCATAATGTGTGCGTGCACTAAATAAGCCCTATCGTGACGATACTTTCTCTTGACTTAAACAAAACCTTTTTTGTTTCTGTCTGTCATACTCTTTCTTTGCATTGTGTTTATGAGCTTCTTTTAACCGAAACAAAAACAAAAAACCAACAAAAAACAAAAACACAAACAAAAAACAACAAACAAGCACATGGGTGTGCAAACTGACCTTCCTGTGTAGTTTCCTGCGGTACTGCTCAATCTGCTCTGGTATGGCTAGGCCCATCTTACGAGATCTTTTCCCAGCCTCCAGCTCATCCTGATACTTAACGACCTTCACCTGGGGACACCAGCAAAACATCAGATATAATACATATACCATGTAGGTCTGTTTGTGTTTGATTGAGTGACGAAAAGCACATCGCCACACTAATGATCCTTTAATGCAGCGGGAAAACCCCCCAGACAGATAAACAGAAACTAAAGAGAGAAAAAAAAAGTAGAGCTATCAGTGACATCCTCCAACCACACTCAAATGTGAAGGTGCACAGAAAAAAACAGGCAGCATATGTATTTACTATGAAACTATGCCATAATTAAAGTATTGTCTGTTCATAATCTATCACATTTAGCAATGCCCACCGAGCGCGTTTTGTTCTGCCGATTTTTGGCCCCCGCCGAGGGGGTGTTTCGTGGGACGCACTAACGCAAAGGTTGTTGTCTTTAACTTGCTCTCACACCGCTTCTCGAGACTGGATATGAATGAAACTTGGCAGCCAATCAGAAAAGAGGTCAATCACGTCGTATGCAGTTTGACAACTTTGTACCCATCCACGAAGCAGTCGAAAACGTTTGCGAAAGTGGTTGATGTGGTGCGCTATGTAGATTTTTCGGAGCTGTGATTTGTCAAACTGACTGATACGTTGTACACCATTTTTCTTTATTCCCTTAAAAGTTCATGCTTCTGTGTTTAGCGGTTTTTGTGTAATCTTTAAAAATGTGGGAATAACTAAGGGAAAAAGCGACATTGTCATTTGCGCGTGCTGGGTGAACAACCGGCGGCTTGGAAATTTCCACTGAGTGACGTCATCAGCCATCAGTCGCCTCGGGCGCTACAAACGAGGCCCCGCTTATGTGAACCGGAAAGGGGGGGGGGGGGGGGGAGGACACTAGAAAACTAAACGGGGGCCTTGATAACTTGCATTTTGTTGCATTTTAGTCACAATACAATAGATGTAGTCATTTTTATTTGCTTGATTGCATGACAGAAGAATAGAAACAGAAAAGCAAACATCGTGAGAAGTGGTATGGCATTGGGTTTGCGTTATGAAAGCCTATTCTCCCTCTGGGGAAAGCACACACTTGGACTCGTCCTGTGTGCTCTGTTTGGAAAAGTTAGGCATTAAGATTGTTATTAAAGAGTACGGTACTTATTTAGTCCACTCTGGGAAGATAGTCCCGTTTAAACATTGATATCGTTCGCGCGTGCGTGCGTGAGTGCGCGCGCGTGCGAAAGTGTGTACGTGAGAGAGAGAGAGAGAGAGCGAGAGAGAGAGAGAAAGAGAGAGAGAGAGAGAGAGAGAGAGAGAGAGAGAGAGAGAGAGAGAGAAGGGGGGGGGGTGTAAATATGTTACATTTATAGTATGAGTTGTAGCCTACACTTGAGAAATATTCCCATGACTTGTAAACTATATTATCTAAACACATCTTAATCTACCACACAATAGGACACTGACCATCAATGGATATACACAGAGACGATCTTATTTTCTATAACAAAGTATGCATGCTTTTACTAGAAGAGAACTGGATTTATTAGACTAATAAATCCAGTTCTCTACTTACATTTTTGTGACAAATTGATCCAGAGTATTGCTTGGCAAGGAGGAACCTTTTATGTTGCCAAGTTTCATTCAAATATCATGACTTTGGGAGAAGATATGACTGATAATCTTTGTAAATCTGTAAAGAACGCCACTTTTTATTTACAACTAAAAAAGTTTGATAGATATTAAAAATCTGACTGCATGACTAGATTCTGCATTGAAAACTGTACTAGACTGCCAGGTTTCATTTACATACTCCAAGAAATAGGCGAGCTATGACAAATATTGTCTCAAAACGCACCGAAAACTGCCACATTTTTACCTATAAACGTCTTCATAACTCAAAAAGTAGGATAGCTATGAAAAATCTGAAAACAAGACTAGATTCTGCACTAGAAAATGTACTGGGTTGCCAAGTTTCATTTAAATACTCCGAGAAATGAGCGAGTTATGACGAATATTGTCTCAAAACTCACCAAAGAACGTCCCGTATTTGGGTTTTTTTCATTATATAAGAGTGTGCCAAAAATTAATTGATTTAAAAATTCGTAACTTTTTTGTTTATTGATGGATTTCAAAAATTCAAAAAGTTCCATGCTCTGTGGGAATACAGCTACAAAATGCACCTATTTGCAAACACTTTCTGACAAAAAAAATGTTTTTCGTGGTCATTGCTAATCACATGCGCGTACGCTCATACACAATCACATATATATACTTGTATAATTCTTAGTACAAGTTTTATGGCACTTGCAACACAATTTAATTATATAAATGCCAAAAATTAGAGGTGTTACTAGAGAGTATCATACAAAAATAAAAGAAAGAAAAAAGAGAGATAATGACAGGTGCTTGCAAGAAAAGAAGAAACAAATCATACAAGAGTACCTGCCAACCGCCCACTCAACTGGGGACACCATCAAAACGATAGCATCAGAAAAATCATGTTTGTTTGAGTAAAGAAAAGAACATTGATATGATGACCGTCATTTAGTGTCGGGAATAAGCAAGACAGACAGATGAAAACAACAGAGGGTTTCTTAGGTCATATAAGTGCAGAAGATTGGAAGTGTTACTAAAGAACAAGATACAAAGAAAAGGAGGAGAGAAAAGAATGACAGATTCCAAATCCATCACAATATTAAAAAACACAAAAAACGAACATAATTTTCCATAGGGGCTGGGGGGGTGGGAGGATGGGAGGAGGATTTGGGGGGGAGGGATTGTTTACCTCAATCTCCCGCAGTTTCTGCCTCCTTTCCTCCGACATCTGGCTGTACTTGAGGTTGGCGATGGCGCTGTCCGGTATGGAAGATCGCAGCGCACTGTAGGAGCCCGCCTCGCTGTTGTTGTCGCTGTCGTCAGACTGGAGGTTAGACTGCTGCTGCTGCTGGTCGTCCAGCGGCCTGACCAGGACGGAGCAAAAAACTTTTCTTGGTTTTGTTGTTGTGAGAATTGTATGGCACGAGCAACACAGATAGGTACATATATAAACACTGAAGATTTGAGGAGTTTTTATTTTAGTACGGTTTTACTGCACTCGCAACTGCAAAATGTCATTTGAGCGCCAAGAGGTGGATGTCAACATAGAAGTCCAAACGGGGAATCAGGTTTACCCTGCTCACCTCTCTAGCTTCAACAGCAAAAAGTCTGCTTCGACTATCAAAGCATCCCAGAAATAGCAGTTCACAAGAGAGTGACAAACATACAAAAGAAGTAGAGGTAAAATGACGATAGTAAGAACGAACGAGGAAAGAAAAAGCAGCAGTTCCCCCTATGTTGTTCCGGCACAGTATGAGCATGATATTGATTAATCAGCCCACTTACAATTCTACTGTGCATAAGAACATGTTGACATCACCCTTTTGGGAAAGGTCTAAAGACACCTTCAGCCAGTAGCACTGCCCCCTGTGGGGGGGGGGGGGGGTCGATTTGAGGTGTTGAGAGTGACATACAGAGGAGAAATTAAATTACAGAGGAGAGATAAGGGCGATAGATGTTTGATAGGAAAGAAGGAGCAAACCACACCAGACCACCAATCAATCACCCACAAATACTCTTCATTCTCTAAACAATTACATGACCTTATTTTTAATTGAATCTCTCTCCAAACAGCCTGGAAACACCTTGTATCAAAATGTTGGACTAACAACAACATCATCGTCACCACCAACAAGCCACTCACAGGCCATCAACTTCCTCCACAGCATTGACTTACAAGATAAGATAAGATTGAAACATTTCTTGGCTGTACAGGACCGTAAAAACACATGCAGGTATACATAAAAATTTAAATTATATATTACTCTCATTAAATTCTAAAATGAAAAGAGAAGTAAAGCTGCCCAAAATGTATATATCACATCAGATGCATCATTCAACCACATGCAAGAATTGAATAACAAGACCTTTGGAGTTATATAGATACATACTTTAAAGAGCAATACACATCTATGTTTATTTTGACAATAGCCTTAAGCTAGATGGTAAAAAAAACTTTTATATTTCTTTCTTTGTTTTTTGAGGTACATATCTGTCGCTGCATGATTTGAAAATTTGCGTGGAAAGGGGGTGTGATGGGTCATTGTATAATGTTTTATATCTTTTTTTTTTACTTGTGGTGTTAAACATTTAATAAATTCTAGTAAAATCATATCCAGAGATCTTGCTGGCTTTCTTAATGGTTCTGTCAAATTTTTCTTTATCTTTCACCTTACAATTCCCAGCCTGGCAGCAAATACAAAATAATAGAACGCTTTCAATCATAGAATGGTATAAAAGGGACATAATCTTATTATTGACAACAGTGCCCCTGCCAACAAGAACACCACCAACAAGAAGAACAACAACAACAGCACAATACCATCATGAACAACAACACGAGCATCAACAACAACACCACCACCAACAATAACAACACCAACAACCAGCAAGAACAAGTCACTCACAGGCCATCAATGTCCTCCCCAGCATCATTCACGTTGTTTTCATCCTCCGCCTCCAGCATCTCCCACTTGGATGTGGTCATGGCTGAAACACAGACACACAGACAGACATGTCACACACATAAGACCAACCACACTGAGGTGCCAACAGGCTTCGAAATAAAATCCCGAACTCTTCTTACCCCATGGAAACATACATTGTCTAATGCATCAAGTATCCAGACTATTTTTTTAAAAAGAGCAATATAACATGCAAAAAGAGATAAGAATATGAAATAAATGTATCAGCAGGAGCATTAAAAACACTAGTGCTGTTGTGAAACTATCCCATTAGTATTGTTTTAGTTTAAGTTTTACAGCACTTGCAACACAATTAGGTCATTTAAATGCTGAATATAAAAGATGTTACAAGAGAGTAACAAACACAATAAAAAGGAGAGGCGAGGAGAGGACATAAGGATAATGGATGTTTAATGAGAAAGAAAGAGCAAACCACACCAGCACCCACCAACCACCCAGGAGGAGAGACAAAGACGATCGATGTTGGATAAGGAAGAAAAAGAGCAAACCACAACAGAGCACCTACCAATCACCCATGAGGAGAGACAAAGGACGACAGATGTTTGATAAAAAAAAAAAGGAAGAGAGCAAATCACATCAGAGCACCCACCAACTACCCACAAACTATCCCACCAAAACAGTTGGGAGTGTACCGAAGGTACCAAACTGCGCTGTCCTCTCACCCTGAGCTGCCAGTTCAGTCTCGTCCACTTCCTCCCACTTGGAGCGGATAAAGGCCGGCTGGGGGGCGGGGGCCGCCAGGGCCACTGACTTCTTGGGGGTGATAGGCTCGCCGTCAATGTCAACCTCTCCCACTGGAGAAAAACAACAGAACAGGTCGGCGTGTAACAGTACCGGGCTTGACAACTTCTCCAGAAATCAAGCAAGGAGACCCAACATTTAAAACTCGTTGGCAGTATTGCAATGACCTATGTCTGTATGCAACACTGCCCGCGAACATCAACACGAATAGCTCTGATTTGTCGGGCCCCGCCTCGGTAGTTCGAGAGATCTGTAGTTCGAGGAATATCTTACAAAAATAAAGAAGAAACAAAAAAAACGGGACGGCAGGCACAGTTTGACGGAAGCGTGATTCCGAGTCTTCTGAGTTTGACCTATCCGTGTTATACTGTATTATGAAACAATGAACAAAACTTTCATCAAGTGGGACTGGTTTTGGTGTAATGTTTGTTATAATGCCGTTTCAAATTCCCTGTATGCCGAATACAGGACGGTCCCGGGAAATAAAGGACAGTTGGCAAGCCTGCAGCACTTTGCTTCAGTGGAAGCCAAACACACTGATAGTACACCAGCCGGGTGTTCAGATGCACTAAGCTCAAAATTTGGAAATTTAAAAAACCAGTAGTTTCGAATTCTGAGGGTAACTGTTACATAAGCTCGAAAAATTATTTGGTCCAAATTCCTATTCTAAATGTGGAAAAGAGCAAGAAAAAACAAATAACATAGGCATATTTATTTAAAGAATGATAGTTTCTTCTCTCTTATGACAAATTTTGCCTTCAAGACTTTTGTTTGTTTTAGTAGAGGTTTTACGGTGCTCGCAACAGCAAGATCATATGAACACCAAGGAATGGATGTCAACAGAGAAGTCCTTACAGGGAATCAGGCGTACTCTGCTCACCTCTCTAGCTTCAACAGCACAAAGTCTGCTTTGACTATAAATCATGTACGTGTATGTGCTCATTTCGTAATGATATGTAAACGTGCGCATGTGATAAGCAAGTAGATGTGTGTGTGTGTGCGTGCGTGCGTGCGTGAGAGTGTTTTGCGTGCATGTGTGTGCACATGTGTGCGTTAGTGTATGTGTGTGTTTGTGTGTGTGTTAGTGTGTGTGTGTGTGTGTGTGTGTGTGTGTGAGTATGAGAGTGTATGTCGCGTGCGTGAATATTGTTCGTACATGCATTTATGTAAAGCGCCAAGAGCTGTGTTTACACGGAAATGGGCGCTACAGAAATTACCTTCATTATTATTATTATAAAGGCACCCTGGAAATAGGGGTCACAAGAGTGTGACCAACATACAAAAGAAGTAGAGGAAAAAATGAACACAGTAAGGATTAGGAAAGAAAAAGCAGCAACTCTCTGTTGCAGTTCAGGCACAGTTATGAGCATGACATTGATGAATCAGCCCATTTACAATTCTACTGTGAATAAGAACATGTTAATGTCTCCCCTTTGGGAATGGACTAAAGACACTTCAGTCAGTAACACCGCCCTTGGGGGCACTTTAAGACTTTGTACATTTTACAAATTGCTGATGATAAATAACAGAATTTTATAAATTTTATTCGACCATCAATAATAAGTGTGTAGAAACATGGCAAAATGAGTCACCTGTAGCCTTCGAACAATTTTACAATATGAGACTTGACCATCAATGATTTATTAATAGAGGCACCAGCCATCCATGTCCAGGTGCTGTTTTAGCCAACATTATGAGCATCAACTTTGTGTCATTATAATAAAGAAAAATGAGGGGTGGGGGAGTGGGAAGTGGTCGTTTTTAAAGGTTCAACTGTGCAGAAGAAGAAAAAGAAGAAGAAGAAGAAGAAAAAGAAGAAGAAGAAGAAAAAGAAGAGGAGGAGGAGGAGGAGGAGGAGGAGGAGGAATAGGCAAAGAAACAACAACAGCAGTAATCACCACTTACAGGGCAGCCCATCCACATCCTCTTTCAGCTCCTCCCCATCAACGTCCGCGACCAAGGATTTCTCCGCCAGTGGAATGCCATCAACATCTTCCAGGGGCGCCCCATCCACCTCCACAGATTCCTCATCTTTCTCCTCTTGGGGCTCCTCCCTCTGTCAAGAAGGGAAATTTTTTTTTTGAATTATTTTTTTTACAGATACAGGTAAGCTATAACTAAAAAAGCACAGACATCATTATTAAAACCACATCTTCGGGGTCATAACATAATCATATTTATCGGGGGGGGGGGGGGGAGGTATTTGAGAAAGAAAAAAACCATACAAATCCTATGTTAGTCAGCCTTAGGACTTGAGCAAAAGAGAAATTGTCAAAATAATGAGAAGGATTTATGTTTCTTTCTATCTTTAGACAGAGAAAAAATTTAGAGATGCCATTGCAACTCTTTAATGCATTGATTTTATTAATAGTTAAATATTAATTGCTCTGTAAAAAGACTCATGTATGACACCATACTAATTTCAAGTTTTTATTTGAAAATTATTTGTGCGAGTATGCATGTGTGTGTCCTGCCAGCCTAGTTTGGTTTCAAGGGCACTGGCCTCACTGTATTAAACGTGTGGTGTTGGAACCTCCCCAAAGCTGAAATAATTTTTTTTTAAACAAAATAAAAAAAAGCTGGTACCTTCCCAGTACTGGTACCCAAGGCCTGGTGCCAGTAATGAGACCATCTACAACAGTCTAGCTCTTGTGTTGACTGAACTGGCGTGCCCTGAACTGGCGTGCCCTGAACTGGTGTGCCTTAAGAGCTAATGTGACAAATTGTGCAGTCAAGACCACAGAGTTCTTATTCCCAATCAGCCAGGGCTGCATCCTAATTTAAACGCTGGAAGACGTGTATGCACCTGTATAGAACGATCTAAATCCCACAGATCCTGGGATCAGGAACACACACAAGAACCCCCACCCCCCCCCCCCCCAAAAAAAAAATAAAACTAACAAAAAACAACCCCAGACCCATTTGAACAAAAAACCCTCTCAACGCTTTCCAACGAAAGAGCTAGGATGAACAAGAGCGACCACGGGTGTCTGTTACTTATTATTACAATCAGACTATTGATTTACTGAATATGTATCTGGCTCTATCTTTATTGTTGTTAACAATCAATGTCCATTTATATCATATTTGTGGGACTGTGAGCCTGTTCATGAGTGCAAGCAAACAAGAGAGAATACGGATGCGTACGCCTGTGTGCGAGAGAGCGTGTGTGTGAAGAAACACCAAATCTATCTTCATCTTATCATGAATTTTCCATCAAAGCGTGCTCACCTGAGTAGGCGCCACAAGTCCCAGGAAGATGTTCTGTAAGTTGATCAAAAAATCGTTTGGGTAGACGGCCCAATCCTCCCACGCACGGAAACAGTTCATCACTTTTTGCTGGGGAAAAGAAGTAGAGGAAAAATTACAATAGGATACGAAAAGAAAAACTTTGTAACTTGTGTACAGGTGTAGCCCTGTTGGAGAAGTTTGTTTTTGTGTTTTACGGCACTTACAACACAATAAGGTCATGTAGCATTGAAGATTAGAAATATCAAAAGAGAATACTAAACACGAAAAAGAAAGGGAGATAGAATGAAGTTTGATAGGATAGGAGCAGACCACACCAGAGCACCCACCAATCACCCACTATCGGAGAAGGACCCATACTAAAATATAAAAATAAAAATAATAACAATAAAGATCACTACTATAATGCCCACTTCTTGGTGCTTCACAATAAAATAAAATTAAGGATTTGACAGTTTACACTCCGACATGTTTCATGCATATCGACCCATTCAACATACATCAGCCCTTTAAAATAGACAAGCCTTTACCTTGAATTGCTCCGCCTTTAATCTGCCCTCAATTTTCTCATACGACTCGTTGACATCTTTGAAAATATCCTTCAGCTTTCCTTGAAAACTGTTTCATGAAAGGAAAAATGATAAAATACACAGAAATTGTGGCAGTCACACACAAAGACAGATAACAGCTCCAATTATGGATATCATTCTTTCTATACCACAAGAGATGAAAACGCATCATGGACTTGGAAACTGAATCTCATTTCATTGGATACTCAGGTGTAAAAAACAATATTAAAACATTTTCTAAAATTAATTAGCCTGCTCATATTTCAAGTCCAAGAACCAGACATTAAAATAAGTTTTAATTAAACAGTAAAAAAATCAACAACAACAAAAAAAAACCCTCCCTGTTTTCTCCAATGAAAGAATGAGGTGAAATAAAAACTTACAATTTCCTAAAGAATGAAGCATTTGGAACTTTGGCGCTGCTGTTGAACAATATGTCCGACACAAGGAAAACACGAGCAATCTGAAACACGATGCAGAATAATATTATATAAAAACAAATAATAACAAGACTATAAACACTTAAGCACAATCCCCCCCCCCTTCCCCAATACATTTAGTAACTTATTAATTCCAACTTTACTACAACTTAAATGTTTTTCTTATATTTTTAAAAACTCCATTCTATAACACCATACTATCTTTAATTCATCATTCAACATTAATTATTTCCTAACCTTAAACAGGTGAGGGGAGGGGTGTTCACCTCTGAGAAGGATAGCTATGTTACAAAAAGAGAAAGCAAAAGTTATGTAGACTGGCCCTCCTATAGTCCAACCCTCTACTCTTTCCCTCAGAGATGCTCACTGTTCAAAAAAAAAATTTGGGAACTTTTTTCCAACTTGTGGAAACATGCAAGCGGGGACAAAAAAAATATATAAAATTTAGGGGTTATGTTATCTAATAACATCTAATATCCAGACTCAACGATGATCTGCTTGACTTCAAACAAAATCCTGACAAATTTCAGAAATCCGGGTTTCCAGTTTAATCAGGAATATATTGGCACCTCTCATACCTTTTTAGGCAGCGGTGTTTGCAAGATACTGAGAGACTCTGAGATACACTCCACTATCTCTTCAGCTGCCTCCGCGTGATCCAAGCACCACACCATTCCGTCGGCGACCTTTGACCGCTCAGGGGTTAACTCTCGAAGCATGTCTTCTAACCGGTCTCTCTGGCTGGAAAGGAAAAACAAAACAAAAAGTGGAACATTCAAAACCTTTCCAATCACTGAATATAGTAGAACACAATTTTCGTCTTTTTTTTTTTTTTTTCAACAACCCCAAACTTATTCATCTGCATGAAATGATCACTACAACATAAAAAAAAATCACTACAACCTCAATGAATTTTTCAAAGACAAAAATTACATGTAATTCAAAGCTAATGATTCATCAATATGCATTCATACATTGCATTGCTCCTTTGTCCCTGTATATTTTATACATAGTTTCTTCAATCATATCTGTCTTTGTCTTTTCAAACACTGACTCTTCAATAATACCTGATTTGTCTTTACAAACATTCTCTCTTCACCATTTTCGAAGACCAACCTAAAACATTTTTGTTTTATTTGTTTTAGTAAGCCTTTTACAGCACTTGCAACATAATTAGGTCATATAAGTGCGAAAGATTAGATGTGTAACGAAAGAGTAACAAACATTAAAAAGGAGGAGAGAAGGACAATGGACGTTTGATAGGAAAGAAGGAGCAAACCACACTAGAGCACCCGCCAACCACCCGCTAAAAGATTTTTTAAAATTGTATTACAGAAAGAGCACTAAATACAATAGAATATTCCCAAGCTGGCCACCCATCGTTGAGGAGAAAAGTGTTTGTCTTAGACATGTCAACGTCTTGGACAATGTCATTATAACATTCTTAAAGAAAAAAAAAAGAGCAGAGGGGACAAGGGGTGGGTAAGGGAGAGTGGGAATTTATTCAAACAGGTGATTGTCTTGGACCAGTGGCTGTTGGAACAGGTTCCACTGTATGGTGCAGAAATGAGTCCCAACTGACTGACCTGTTGGTGAGCTTCCCTTTGCGCAGAATGACCTCAAACTCCGAGTTGGCCTCGCGGTTAACCAAGTCCTCGGGCATGCCTTGAGTAAAGGGGTTGATGGGCGGTGGCCGCCAGATGGAGCCCCCCTTGAACATGCGGAACTCTTCTGTTCGCCATTTGCTACAAGTGTCACCCTAAGCCGTTCACATATGGAAGGGAATTTAGAAGAAAAAATTAGCATTTGTATAGCACATCTTGTTCAACAGCAAGCTCTATGCACTTCACGAACTTTATTATTACTTCTGCAGACCCTAGAACACTCACAAACATTCTCAGCTTCCTGGTGTGCATAAAAACTATTGAGAACTTAGGTAGGTTGTTTACTTTTAAAAAGTATTAGTTCAATTTTTACGGCACCCTCAACATAAATACATAACATAAGCGCCAAAGATAAGAGGTGTTACAAGAGAGTAACATACAAGGGAAAGGAGTAACAATGATGATAAATGCTCAACAAGTAAGAAGGAGCAAACCATACATAACCAGAGTACCCACCAACCACCCACACTAAGGTCTACCAGAGAATAAAGACTAAAGCACTTGCACGGAGGACAAAACACCCCAGTGCACCTATTAACCACTCCCATAAATAATCAGATACATCGGTGAGGGTACTTCGACTTTAGGATTTGTAAGAGTACAGATAACAGCAGATTACAGCAGAACACCCATTAACCACCCTTACTGGCATTAAGCAAACTAGGATTTAAGGACTTCAATAAAGGACTGACTACAACAGAACACCCACCACCCACTCTCATTTACACCAAAGTCTTAGAGAGAACTGAAACTTTAGGTCTTACATGGAGGACAGAGTACAACTTCCATCGGTAATATGTGTGCGCTGGACTCTTGTTCTCAAACAGAAATCTGAAAATAATTGACAATAGTTTTTAAAATTAAAAAAACACACAAAAAAAAACAACCCAAAACAGAACAAAGAATCCTATGCAAGGAATAAACTAACTTGTAGCGAACCTGTCTAGGAATGAAGTGGAACGAGATTTGACAGCAAATTAAACGGTGGGTCAACATACAATATATTCTTTCTCCGACTGGCACTGCAAAGATATTTGATTGATATCTTAAGCCCCCCCAACACACACACACACTGCTATAGGTCAATCTGTTAGGGCAACCCCGACGGAGACACACAATAAAATATAATACATCCCCATGTTGGAAATTCAATTATCTCTTCTGCACGTAAGGCAAAGGGCTTAACCATTTTTCATTAAAGGTCCCAATATCTCGTTCTGCCCTTTAGAAGATAGATCACATAATCAAAAATAATCAGATAAAAAAAATAGAAAGCTTACCTGAAGAACGGGTTATTCAGTTCTCTGTTCATAATCATGGCTTCGAACATGGGTCCCTCGCGAACAACAAACTCCACCATTCGGTGTATCAGAGCCAGCAGTTGTCTGAAAACAAGAAATGACTCCACTTGCCAGGTCCCGCATCGGGACATGCAAACACAAACACCCCCCCCCCCCCCCCCCGAGATAAACTCAACTCAAACTTAAATCAGGGCTGCCTGCTTTAAGTCGTGCCAAAGAGCACATTCAAGAACAACTTACGGTCAACTATCTGTACTATCTGCCAGTTTCAAATTGTACATTTACAAGTCGTTTTATTTATAATGGGTTTTTTTGTGGGGGGGGGGGGGGTGGATGGTCACAGGCTACAAGACTTCTGACAGCAACCTCTTCATCCCATCTCTACCACGGATAATACCCAGGGCTGCCCGCCGACCAAAATATGTTTTATATAAATTTTGTAATCTGTAATCTGCCTTCAAAATTCAAAAAATGGCTTTGACACTTCTAAAGTTTCTCTACTAAGAGCAAAGTGGCACTGGGCAACTACAAGGGTTCAGTGCAGACAGGTTGTTAAAGTTTGATTTGCGAGCGACGTTGCGACATTCCGACTGTCCGCTCTGGTAGTTTTTTCTTCTTACTTTTACACCAGGAAGGTTGGCAATGGGTTGGCGTTGCCAAAAGTTTGAAAAAATTTGAATCAGGGGTATTACAATCGTATTTTTGTAAAAACGTTATACAAATCGCCAAATTGGTAATGATGGGCAGCCCTGGATACCCTATACTGTATCGAAGAACACATGTCGAAGACCCCCACATTTTTTAATATTACACGAGGCCGAAGAGCATAAGCTCAAAGGCTACTTTTTTTAACACCAGATTTTTTTTCTTTTGCAGTATGCCGAAATTTGTTCACTCTTATGTTGCTCAAGATCTTTGATGTGTCCTCTTTACATTGTGAGGAAGTATTGGGTTTACGTACAGGAAAGTATCATATTACTAGAACTTGTATTTCCATCTGATGAATCTGGGTTTAACAAAGACAATCATTTTATACTGTAGACTGTTGATAGTGGGAGGGGAGGAGTTCTCTCTGCTGAGCAGATCCCAGCTAGCAAAATTACAATTTGCTACAATTTTCACAAGGCCTTCTTCACCTTTCAACTCTTAAATCTGCAACTAGCCATGCCAGCCCAAAACTATTTTTTTCATCAAAACAAATACATATAGGATACACCAGCATTTGGTGCAGCATCCCTTCCATGCGGAAATGGAATACGTTTGACACAGCAGGGCAGTTGGAGGCTTGGAGACCTTCAATCTAGAAGTATCTCCACAGATAGTTGCTTCCTGTTCCCAGTTCCTCACCTCTCCACCTTTCAATTTTTAAATCAAAGGTCGTATATATCATGCAACTGGAGCTTGCATTTCAATAGAGGTTCCAGTATAAAGATACTACTTGGTTCTATGTTACTTTCAGATTGGAAAGTAAACATCGTGCCGATATATACACACAAAAAAACAATGTGGCGTGATGTACTGAATATTAAATAAACTTATAAATAAACTTAGGAGCTGAGCATGATTTTTCTGAAAAATCTCATTTTTCACTAGAGTGAAATCTCGCCTTCAATAGTGATTGATCTTCATGAGATCAAGGACTGGTGATGGGTCTCATTTAAATATTGAGAAATGCCTAAGCGTCTCAAACAGCTTCTCCCAATCCAGCCAACCAGTCCTCATGAGCAATGCAGCTCAACAATATGCAATCTCATTAAACCTTAAACCAAACAAGACAACAATTATAAACAGAAAGAATCCTTTAGGAAAACAACAAAATTAACAAGACTCCCTCCCCATATATTCCAAAAGATGCTCTCAAAATGACCTTGAAAAAAACAACATCAACCCAGTCTTGTGGCAAACCCACATTACTGCATTCAATTTACATTTTTTTAAACATAATATTAGAGACTGTTCACCCCTTCTAAAAAAAAAAAATGTTTAAAAAATAATGAAAAAATTTATTTTTAACCAACACTGAAATGTATAGACTATCCAAATTTTTAGCCCCAAAAATGACCTACTTTCAGGGAAAAACAATCCAGACCTGCCACTCTATGAAACCTTAAAATCAGGATCTCAGGGAGAAAAAATCGGGACCAAAAGCAAATCAACAAGGTGACTGCCAAAGCTGACTTAAAATTTTTCCAGGGGTGTCCATAAATTACTTGGTCTAAATGCCATCTGTGTGTCTTTGTTTGGGTGCGTGTGTGTGTGTGTGTGTGTGTGTGTGTGTGTGTGTGTGTGTGTGTGTGTGTGTGTGCGCGAGCGAGTTATCATTATTTTTGTAAATCCTGTTCCATCACATCAAGCACTCCTAGTCCAAATGTTTATACACCCCCCCCCCCCCCCCCCCACCCCCACCAATGAGTCCCGAAATACATGAACTTAAGTTGACCCCGTCAACGGACGGTCCCCGACACGCAGAACTCACACGGCGATGTCATGTCACGTCACGTGATGCGAATGCACGATTGAAACAATTTTACAAACGGGTTCGACTAACTGCGCGTTCACACAAAACACTCGGATGAGCTACAGTCGTTCTATTTCTAGGATAATGACGGCGGCCGACCCACCAAATGTACCCAAAAAATATCTTATCCCTCATCATGCGTTCAGACTAAAGCAACGACAACAGCCGTATGTTAGTCTTGTCAGCGCAGTTACATGTTGTTGTGTAAGGGTTAGAAAGACTGTCCCTCGTCCAAGTGTTTGGTGTGAACACTCGGACAAGGCTAGTTTTGAAAGTAAAAGCGAAACTACGAATATTATCGATTATTTGTATGTCCCAAATTGTAACAGTTACCAGGCTATCATCGGAGAATTCTGAGTGCGGGCAAAGATCACACACAACTGTGTGGGGGGGGGGGGTCAACTACTAAATGCGGCATTGATATTTGGGAATTAGTGCTCCAAGTTCCTACTGACAAAAAGTTCAACGGGTGCTTCCCGCTATGAAGGAGAAGGCAGAGTAAGTTTTTAGAAAAATCCAGCACAACAGCAGACTGGGACAAAAAATCGGGATGCACGCCATCGAAATCGGGAAAATCGGGATGCTTGAGATTTGAGGCAAAAAATCGGGATATCCCGACTAAATCAGGATGAGTGGCAGGTCTGAACAATCATCTGAGAGCAAAATGCTCGGACTACATAAATGTACAAACTCAAGCTCTTCTACTAAGGTTATGGCAATTATTTACCAAAAGTTGAGACAGTTACCTTTTCTTGACCCACATAACTAATAGAGAGTAGAAATATTTTCCCAACCCTGCATTGATCTATAGATCCGTTTCTAAAACCTCATCACATTACATAATAAAAGTGTGGGGGGGGGGGGGGGGGGGGAACAGACGGTATTTTTAAACAATAAACCTATCCCTACAAGTAGCTTATCAGATAATACTGAAAAATTTATCCAAAAACCTGTTTTTCGCCACCATTGTAAATCATGAATTACCTGTGTCTGTCTCATAATAATTTCTGACTTTTCAAAATTGTGAACAAACTCTAATGCAAAAGACGATAATCTAAGATTTATAACTTGCATAATTAAAACAACCCATAGATCAATTGATTAGAACAAAGCGTTAGCATAAAGTCCTTTTAAAATCACCCAATGTTCACGTCTCATCACAAAATCAAGACTGAACAGCATACTGACTACAAGAAAACTAGAAACATAAGCAGCCACACACACACACACTTTCTCAGCATAACTTCCCATTCATGCTATTCAACATGAACATATGAAACGCAAAATTACAGCACACATTCTTATGATTTCACTTTCTTTCATGGTCTTTCCATTGTAAAACTATTTTTAAAAGTTAAGATTCAAAAAATAAATTTTTACAAAGTAGAGGGGAGAAATATTGAACTTGAAATTTGAAAAACATTGAAATCTAGGATGTGCTCTTCAGCAACTGACATAACAATACAGGAAGAAGTATTCTCCATCCATGCTAAAAATATAACCAGAAACAAGTCACGCAAAGCCATTTAAAAAAACCTTCAATATGTACAGTCATGTACAAATAGAAAATTCTATATTTTCCTTTTGTAAAGGACACTCTGGTCATTCATTACAAGCTGTCTTGCTCCCAATGTTTCAAAGGCAAACATTTTAAAAGCTGCAGTAATTATTCTCAACATTCAACAAAAAAAAAAAGGAAAATCTCTTACTGAAACAAATTGCTCTTTCTGGGTAGACAATTCTATACCATGACTCTCTTTCTTACTTCGCATTCACATTCATAGTTTACTCCCTCTCTCTCTTCACTTGTACCATCAACTTCCTTTTAGCCTTTGTGATTCTCTCAACTTGCACCGTAAACTTATTTTAAGCCTTCACGATACTTTCTCTCTTTCATCCATCTCTCCTCTCATATAACATTCAACACTTTCATGCGTTGATCCTGTCTCTCTTATCCCGCATTGTTTTTCTCAACACCCAAGTCTGAGACATCAAAAACAGTTCTAAAACAAAAACAAGCGCATCATGAGCCTTTCGAAGCGCTTGTCGTGGTGTTGTCTGTCTGGCCGTGGTCCGCTGCATTCCTCAAAAGTCTCCGCCATGTCCAGTGAAGTTGTGAAAGGTTTCTTTTTGTTTTGTTTTTTTCCCCTACAGCTCTGTCAATCTCATTTATAGCTGCCAGCCACTCAACCAAAAAACATCAAAACTTCATTCGGAACAGTTTTTGAATTTCAAAATCTTGGTAAAGTCACATGAAAAGGATGAAAGCTATTCGATCATACCATCACAATCTCACTTTTGCTTCCATCCTTATTTCATTATTTCATTCCATGATCCCCCCCTTCCAAATCAACAAAGGGTTAGAGAACTGACAAACTTAACCCCTAAAAATTTTCATTTCTATTTAATGGAATGTTACGTTTCATTGTCAGCCAAATAAAATACCATCAAAGGGATATTTTTGTGTACATGTTCTTTAATCAAATTACATTTAAATCTTATTTTACTGCAAGAGATCATAAGGCTATCATGGAGAGGGTGCCATAGAAGTGATCTTTATTATATTATGATGATGATTATTATTATTATGCCACACCAAAGCCTCATTAGTGACAATCTAATCAACATTATACCATTAACACCCCCCCCCCCCAATTCAAAATGTGTGTGCTGTTTTACAGAGCATGAAAATGATTTCCCTTGGACAAAATCTTGCTGTGTAAACCAAAAGAATTTCACTTTACCAACTTATAAACTCATTGTGTTCATCATATTACACATTTCACCCCCCCCCCCTTTTCACACGCTTGGACTGGCCAACAATATCAACAGACCCTGTAAGTGGTAGCCTGTCCATTATATAGAGCACAAAAATCTTCTGGCAGCTTTAAATGAGCGACTTTTCCCCTACCCATGGGAAAATACGAGGAATGAAAAAAAAAAAGAAAACTTTTTGAAAAGAGTTTGCCTATGCCTCATTATGAGAGGGTGGAAATAGAAATAGTGGGTAGGACAAAGTGATAAAGATATATATACCTTTCTGTGGGGATTACCACTTTCACAACTGCATTCGCTAACGTCTGCAGAAATGGCGATTGAAAGAGACAAACAGAACGATTAGAGTTTTAGGTATTCATTGCAAAAGTTTTGTATCTAAACTAAAAAGTAAACTATGACAGAATATGCTATTTAGTTGTAATTTAATAAGAGTAGTAATCACTTACACTCAATTAATCACATTATCAAATTACTTTTAATTTGAAGGCAAATTGTGGGCAAAATAAAAACTAGAGGGGCCTGTAAAGTAGCAGTCATGGTCTTTGTGGGTCTAGAATTTATGTGAGCTGGCCTAAAATAGATATCTGATACCCACCTTGATAATTTTCATGGCAACATAAACCTGAATATACACTAAAAAAAACTTAACAGCTGAATTCTTTTATAATTATTACGGGCCAATGGAAATTTAATTCAAAGAGGAAAACAAAATAAAAACTTAAATAAAAAAAAGCAATGCTTGAGAGACAAAAGTATTCACTCTCCTGACAAAAAAAAGCACTATTAAAAACTTTTAAAGTGCCCACCAACAAAAAAGGATGAAAAACACCCACACAAATCATAAAAATAGGTCATTCTACATCCAAATTCTCCCCTCATTCCCCTAGATTTAGTAACCGTTTTACAGCACTTACAACACAAAAAGGTCATATAAGTGCCAAAGATTTGAGATGTTACTAGAGAGTATCTGAAGAAGAAATGAAAGAGGAGAGATAAGGATGATAGATGTTTGATAGGAGGGGGGAAAGCATACCAGAGCACCTGCCAACCTCCCGGCTTCCTCTACAACAACAACAATAAAAGCATAGGGCCGACACAAGAGCATGTGGCCTCTATTACCTTCTCGAGCTCCTCTGGATTCTCCGAGAGTAACTCCAGCTGATCTTCATCCTCGCGGTCTTTCCGCTTTTTTATCTGTGCGTTGAATGGCAGGCCAGAGGGGGGTGGGGGCTGTGTCAGCTCAGCCAGTGCCGGTGGGATGTAGATGGGGTGAGGGGGGATGGGTACAGCCTTGCCCCAGCCCAGTTTCATCTCAAAGCCGTTGACCTCTTTGCCTGAAAGGTCATTTTTCATTAATGGTCCTGTGTTCAAGCCATATTTTAAGGCATTTTCCATTTCAAAACATTTTTGGAAAGCTTTAGTGAGTAAAGAGTCCAACAACATTTGCAACTCAATAAGGCCAGTGATTGGCGTTGCTATATAAATCAAAGCACTGTACTAACCCTATAGGTACACCCTGGGGTCATTTTGTACCTCCATGGTTGTGTTCTTCTCATTTTAGAATACTTTTAGTGCGAAGACCTCTTTGAAACTTTCAGTTTTTCTCAAAAAATCATTTTGACAGACAGCTATGCAAAGCATACAGATCGGATTAACGAGTAAATTTCCTCTTTGGAAAGTGGTGGCACAGAGTTTCCCACGTCGTATGGTTACGATAGTACAATACGGCGTACGGATAGGGTTAACTAGCCTTTGTCAACACAAATAGCAACAGAACTTCTATATATCCCTTCTTTAACGTATGCAAACCACTGCTGCCTCTACTTCTTTTTAAAATAAATTTCAACTCACATTCAGAAGAAGTCATGAATACAAATCCAAACCAAAGCAAGAACCTACATTGAAGATCGCAAAAGAAAACCGTTTCATTTTTAAAAATCGGTATTCTACTGAACAAACCGTTGTCCATTCATTCAGCTGGTATCGCACCTCTTCTTCAATTTACATGCATTGTTCTGCATTTAATAAATTCATGTCTAAGAGATAACTACTATGGTGACAGACATAACAACAATTGACCTATCAGCTTCACTCTCGTTATCACTCCCCCTTGACAGTTCATAATTTTTTATATTTTTTTTTTTAGGGGTTGGGCTTGGCAGGTCTGTAAACAGAGAGCATACATTTTCCATCATAAAAACGACCCAGGACCCCCCCCAAAACGTATAAAAACCATTTTTTTACATACAGGCTAGCTGCTACGAAAACCCAAAAGAGCCCATACCGCAGACCTGCTTTCCTCACCTTTCAACACGGTCATGGCTCTCTCCCCATCTTTCCTGTTCATGAAGGCGACGAAGCCACAGTTCCTGCCCCTGGACCTCTCTTCCTCCGTGCGCGGCCACATGATCTTGACGCTAGCTAGGGGGCCATACTTGCCAAAAATCTCACAAAGCTCCTTCTCTGTCATCTATGATCAAACGCAGCAGCACACAACGTTAGGTCTATCAATTCAGTTGCACTATGGGGGGGACGATAAAGGCTTATCTTTCCACACTCAAGTGCATAAGACTAGTTTATTGTAAACTGCAAACATTTAAGTAACTTTCACTTCTGTAGGAGTAAGACATTCCATACTCTTAAAAATGTGATATTGAGGAATATGTTGATACATATATTGAGGATATTGAGGATTAAAAATATTGATTAAAAACAAAATCCACCCTTTGAGATTCTCTATCTTTAACTATTAAAATGAAGGAAAAGGATTTCTATCTTGAACAATTTAAAAAAAAAAAAAAACCCAACTAAACTGCAGAAAATATAACATTCATCTTACACATAATATACATATGCATGTAAATATAAGTTTGTATGTGGCCTATACACTGCCAGGGGTGAAAGGCATTGATGATGATGATGATGATGATGATGATATAAATATACAAAGACCACTGAGGAATAATGATCTTCAAAGGCCATTTTTTCCAAATAACACTGTCTTATTGACTTTGGACAAAGTACATGAAACACAAAGTTTTCCTGTTCCTCGAAGCATTGTCTAACATTAAAGTTGAGAGAAAACAACATAAACAAACTAGTCTGTGTTCGTTTTTTTCCCTTGGCAATCTCTGGGCTAGTATGTCAGCGTCTTTTTTTCAGCCAACGAAAGCCTCAACTTCCAGTGCTCCCTGTTTGTCCTCACACATAATCAGACCTGAGCATTCCCCCATGACTATTCCCAAGAGATCAGCTCCTACTTCATTGCACATGGAGCAACAAAACAAGCCAACCACCAGCTTTCTGTTCTGTTCCTGAAACGGGCACAGAAGTATAGGGCCATTTCAGAAACAACATGTCAATAATCTCCGACCCACACACAAGCACATCATCTTGAAAGACATGCTCCGCCTTCCCCATTGCACTTGTGGCAATTGAGCGTCATCTCACAGCTCTCTTTCTTTTCACGACAGGGGTCACTGTGAACAAATCCTGACGCGCACTCAACTACAGACGCGTGCAACATATTCCACTTTGCTCAGAGTAAGCACAGCATCCAAGTTTTGACTTTCCAGATCACAGAGGGTGCCAGAGCGTCAGAACTTTGAAATGTCCGCAGATATATCTACAAACCAGGGAAAAATGAGCAAAAGGTCTGTTCATGAGCAGACAACTATGTAGACAGTGACCTGCCTGACGGGGAAGTCTTACTTTTGGGTTGATGTTGCCCACGTAGATGTTGGTTGTATTCTCATCGCCAGTGTCGTTCATTCCTGGTGACAGAACATTACACGAGGCTGTTATTACCACAGGAGATCTCATGAGAACAGGAATGCACGATAACACTCACAAACTAAAGACAAAACAACACAGAGCTTAGTTTAGTTTAGTTTGTTTCTTTGTTTGAGTAAAAAAGAAGCACATTCACACAATAATGGTCATTTAGTGCTGGGAAAAGATTGGACAGACAGACAGAACAGAGAGAGAGTAAAGAAGCAGGACCTACCGGTGGCACCCTCCAACCACCCGCTTAGTTTGAGTAACCGCTTAGTTTGAGTAAGAGTTTTACAACACTTGCAACACAAAAAAGATGTCTTTGTGGTGTAAAGTTTGAAATGAAGTGTTATTACTGGAGAGTAAATGACACAGAAAAGAAGGAGAGATAAGAAGAATAAGATACTTGATAGGAAAGAAGGAGCAAACCACACCAGAGTACCCGCTAATCACCCACATAAGAAACATTACACAAAACTTTTATAACAACATGAGATCTCAAACAGTTACCACTTACAAGTTAAATACGAAACAAAGAGCTGATTTTAGTTTGAGTAAGAGTTTTACAATGTCAACTAAAAAGAAAAATAATCCCACAGTCTCAAGAGGAAGTTGACCAAAAAAACAACAAACAAACCAACCAACCAACAACAATCAAACAAAACAAAAATATGAAGCCACATCTGAGATGTAACCTTACTGTCCTTATCGCTTACAGTTTTAGAATCAGAAAATATTACAAGCCATCATACTGAAAATAACATGAAAAACACTACAAAGTATCAAAGGAAAATAACTACTCCCCCTCAAACCACTACCATTCTCCCCCACCTCATTAAAAAAAACCCAATAGCAATTAAACAAAAACAAGAAGGTGTACATTTGAGGCGTGACCTCACCATATACATAATTAAAGCCTCCACCTCTTGGGTGACTTCCTCCTCCCCCCGATGTCTCATACTCAGGAGCGCCTCGGAGACTTGGGGGTATCAGAGCGTCTGCATCCTCCGGCCCAATGGTCTCCCCTCGAGCCCTTTTCAAAGCATGACGTTCCTCTCGCAGTTCTTGGATGCTGAAGGAAACATTGCAAATCCAAAACATCATCTTTATCATGTTTTTTAAAGTTTTGATCGGAGTTTTACAGCACATTTAAAACAAATAGGTTATACTTTTTTGTTTCGGTACATGTTTTACGGCATTCGCAACTGCATAAGGTCATATGAGCGTGTGGGACACATTAAACATTTTCAGTTTGATAGGGATTAATTTTGAATAATGCCCTGGTGATGGCCGAAACCTACTCTTATTGATTTATACATTTTAGAGAGAAACATACAAAGAAACAAAAAGAAGGAAAGATAAGGATGGTAGGTGTTTCATAGGAAAAAAGGAACAAGAGCAAACAACACCACCTTTACCATCTAAACTGAGCTTCCAGTAGTAAATATTTTACTTACAGTGACATAAAGGGAGCGTCAACAATTAAAAAGGACGTTAAAAAGTACACATGACAAAGAGACACTTTCAATAATCTCCGGTAAAACTGTTGACATCCCAAGACTTCATCTGACGGGGCATACATCTATTTTGAACACAAAGTGTAATTTGGTAGCAAGAAAGGCACTGTTCTACAATAAGACGAACAGAAACCTACAATATATGTTCAGATGTACTAAACCCAAAATTTTGCTTAAAAAAAGAAAAATTGCAGTTTCTTCATTTGTTATTCGATGCCTGTACTCGAGAATTATTTATAAATGTTGAAAAAAAAAGCCAGAAAAAAATAGATCATGTAGCTACAATTTCCAAAATTGCAAGTTCTTTTCTCTCTCACGCAAAAAAAATGTTGCTTTTAAAGCTTAGAACAGTTAAAAAAGATGGCCAATGATCTGCCAGAATTGACTGTAACTAGCACTTCAGGTAGCGTTCACCACAATACTCACGACTTCAATTCCTCTTTGAAAAGCTCCAGGTTACTTTTCTTCTTTTCCTCCTTTTTCTTTTTTCCAAAGTTCTGAAAGTGTAGGGTTAATAAATAAGAAGCATTAAGCAATCTTATAGATCCTTTATGAGGCAGCGTGGTGAAATCAAGCGCTCGTCAAAATAATTAACTTGGAGAAACAGGCGATTTTCCGTATGTTTGGCAATTTTTATCAAATTTTTTTTCTTTTTGTTTAAACATCTTTCATGCTCATTTAAAAACACATTTCTTTGTGGATTTTACTGAAAAACGATAAAAGGCGAACAAAAAAAACAAAAATTTTCATTTTTCCAGGGCTCTCCAGCCATGTAATTCATCAAACTTTGGCCGCCATTTTCTCTCTATTTTTACCCCTGAAACCAGACTACCTCCACCTCCTTCAATTGCAAATATCTCGACTTCTATTAAAGATAGATGGTTATTTCCCTGAAAGCAAGACAAAGGAACAAGCTTTAAGTTTGTATCCCAAAGAGAGTAAAAATTATAATCATATTTTAAAAGAATCTAATAAGGGCATGAAAATACTAGTTCAAAGTTTACTTGGTAGTAAATTCTTACAAAGGTCACCCTGCACAGAATCCCATCAACCACTGTTGGTGTGTACTTTGCCCACAACGCCAACAGTTGAAAAATGTCCCAACAAACATTAACCATGCTCAACATACAATCTCAAGAGCACACACAGAGAGAAGCAGGACTTTAACCCTTAGTCCTAGTGTCAACGGCTGATCTAATTGGCTGACGGAAGTTTTTTCTGTAGTGTTGCTGTAGAAATTTGAGTCACTATTTGATTTGTTTCTTGTGTTTTTATAAATCACCAAAAATTTCAACTCCTCCACAATTACTTGCTTGATTTGCCTCTTCTCAAGCACTTTTCAGTGTAATACTGTGAAATCACCACTGGCTCTTTGTTAGCGACATTTGGAGGTCAAGGGAAGGCATGGTGCATGGAATTAAACAGAAGAACTTACTGGTTTCTGGGGTTTTTCCTCTGTCCGTGTGTCCTCCTTCTTCACCTCTTTAGGGGAGGAAAATATTGACGACAGTTTTGACACTGGTTTGTACAGTCTGCTCGTTCCTTCTTTCTCGTTTTTCTCTGGAATGAACATTTATTATTATTAATTTAGAAGGTTTTACGGCGCTCGCAACTGCATAAGGTCATATGAGCGCCAAGGGGTGGGTGTCAACAGAGAAGTCCTTACAGGGAATCAGACTTACTCTGCTCACCTCTCTAGCTTCACCAGCACAAGGTCTGCTTCGACTATCAAGGCACCCCGGAAATAGTAGGTCACAAGAGAGTGACAAACATTCAAAAGAAGTAGAGGAAAATGACAATAGTAAGGATTAGGAAAGAAAAAGCAGCAATTCCCTGCTGCAGATCAGGCACAGTTATGAGTGTGACATGAATCAGCCCATTTACAATTCTACTGTGCTTGAACGAGAAATGTCCCCCCTTTGAAAATGGCCTAAAGACACTACAGTCAGTGGCACTGCCCCGGGGGGGAAATGAACGTTTAACAGATAGCCTCAGAACTCATACCACTAGACACAGCATTCAACTAAAAGGAGGGTACAACACATACAGTTCATTGAAAGAACATTCAGTAACACAAAAACAGTACTCGAGTCATATAGTCTGGTAAAAAATTTGTGACACAACTTGTTATCAAATATTTCCTTAGTTGCGAGCGGCGTAGTAACACTCACCAAAAAACAAAAAAAAACTACATATTTCCTCAACTATCGAACATAGACTCTCCAACTTTTTCAGAATGACTTACATCGATTTGTTTCAACGGATCAACATTTTTGTAAATTCCCGTTCACTGTATGCTAGAAAATGCCTTAACACAAGTGAACAAAAAATCACAATGGGTGGTTACAGATTTTAAAAGGTTTACATTTCATGAGCATGGACTTTTGAAAGCAAGTTCGTCCTTTCTCTAATCATGACACTATGCTTATTGAACGCATGTTTAGAAAACCTTTATTGCCAAAAAAAAAAAAAAAAGGTTTTCAAGAAAAAATCATTTTTTATAACAACTAATGGTGCGGAACGAAACTTTTAACGTTTTTTGTGTGTCCTTTTGCAACCATGTATGATCATATTTCTTAGACTAAAACACACTGGCTAAAGTGCACCGCTACCGAGCAGAAGTGAGTTGCACTTGTTCTTCACTTCTTTTACTTGTAAGTTCTATTGTTTATTAAATGTTTGAAGAATCGCACATTCTTACTGGTATCTAGCCTAATAAACTCAAGAATGATAGTGTCCATCTGACCAAGCCACCTCCCTGTCACATGTCTACCTTTCCCCCTCACCACCATGCTGCTCCGCCTCAGAATAATTTTACAGTTGGAGCAAAAATTCATGACAGTTTCATTTGTACTTGCCATTTATCAGGAGATCGCATTTTATGCGTGGGCTCAAGTTTTGTCACAAAAAATTGTCATTGGTGAGCAGTGATGTGCACCATATGCATATGCAAACTGTGTGTGAGAGGCAGGAAATGCTGTGAACACCCCCATTTTCTTTGTGACGAAGACTTTAAGTATCTTATAAATACATATTCATGAAGAAAAGTTTTTTAATCCAGCCTCCAATGTTATGGAAAAATATGATTCAGTTAAAACAAATTGTTACAAACTGCTGCGCAAAGTACGGGTAACATTGATTTTACAGTAAAAGAGACATTTGATACAAACAAAGACAAAATCCAAATTCATTCCAACGAGATAAAATCAACAGTGAAACCAAGATAAATTCAGATTTACATAGCAGAGAAAGTAGACATATGACAAAAATTGGCTCATTAAATTTTGATGTACATTTTAATAACACACACTAAATCTTGTTACGTGCATCTAACTTTGACAACTCATCCCCTCCAAGCCCCTACAACTTACTTTTGTCTGGGTTTACAACACCTCCTTTCACCCATGCTTTGCTTAACTTGTTTGAATCTTCAAAAGAAGCCACAAACTCTTCATAGACTGCAGCTGTGGCTTCTTGATCTTTCTGTAAAAAAAAAACAACAAAGGAAAAAACACCCTAGAGAGTTTAACTTTTACTGTGAGTTTTATGGCACTCACAACACAAATAGATCATTCACATGCCGAAAAATAGAGGTGTCACTGGAGAGAAACATAGAGAGAGAAAAAGGAGAGAAACATAGAGAGAGAAAAAGGAGAGAAAAGAACAACAAATGTGTGAAAGGAACAGGAAAGAAGGAGCAAACCACACTAAAAAGCTCCCGCCAACCACTCACACCCTGGACAGACTGACAAAACTCGAGACAAAAATAAATAGGGAACAAGCTACTAAAATAAAAACCTATTCATTCATTAATCAAAAGACTTTTATGGTACACCGAATCTTAAGTACTTATATTAAATGTTGAGAAACATTTCAAAGAGAATATTTCAATCTTTAATTCAGTTTAGCAAATATGCAAAATAATAAATCTATCATTAACAGTGGGCAACATTCCTCCGTACAATTTGAATACATTACAAATACTGTGTACAAAAAATTTAAGACATAGTTTTAGAAGTAGGCTATCTTTTTTTCCTTTTAGTGCAATCTGCAATAAAACAAAACTAGCACTCTGCACACTTTACTACAATAATATATATATACAACAATAATGATAACAGGAGTATTACTCATTAAATGTACATGCAACCTACCTTTCTTTTCATCTCTTCCAGTTCTCGTTTTGAGAGTGACTTAGTGCCCAAGGACATGTTTCCAATGTCGAATGCCCGAAGTTTACTTTCACTAAGCCCCTGAAATTTGAAAAAAAGTTTCAATTTAAGAAAATTCAAAGAGAAGTTCCCTATTAACTGGATATCCTTTAATTAGTCTATCAATATTCAAAACCTATTTTTGACAGCTTCTTTTATGCTGTGGGATGGATCACATGGATAAAACCCTGCACCTACTGTCCGTGAAGTGGTAATGGGTCAAATATAACACTGCATCAAAATTATAGCATGTTTCCGGTACGCAATATGTGGAAAAAAATTCAATATATTTTCCGAATCACTCCAGTATGCAAATGCACTGCTTTGAGGAGCCAAACATGCAAAGCCACTAAACTTAAACTGTCATAACTTTTTTTAAAATCTCTAACCTAATTTATTTAGTAAAATATGAGAAATACACGAGGGAGGGAAAGGTGGTTGGTTGGTATGTTGGTATATGCCCCCTACCGCCCCCCCCCAATCCCAGAAACTTGACAGCCCCCCCCCCCCCCTGCTCTTTTTCGTTTCCTCTGGCCACCTTTTGTAGGTGTTTCAGTGACATGGAAGCACGATGAACTGCTCTGTACCTAACCAGAGGGCCTGACAGCTTGTCTTAGCTTGGCGACATGTTTGTTTTTCTTTTTTTCTGACATGGCTACCCAAACGTTTCCTTGTAGTTATTAGTTTGCGATACGTGGAGCCAGATGAAACTTGCCGCCACCAATGATGGCACCTGCTACATCCACTTGTTGAGCCTTGGCCATTCTTCTCAGCTTATTTATTTAAGGTCAGGGAGCTCACTCGGTTTCCATTCAACCCTATTCTTTTCTTCTAGCTGGCCATTCCAGTTCATCTTTAGCACATGTTCCAATATTTGTTGCACTGTCATCTTGAGATAGGGTGTGTCTTTATCTGGCCACGTCGTTTTCAGGTTTTCCATTCTCACATCAAACGTGACCTCGTCTGATGAGTTTGAAAGCACGTCATCTCCAAAGAGTTGATTAATCAATACGTTCCTCAGTCTGGAAGCAACGCCAACTTTATCCTTCAACTGTCTGGCAACTTTTTTTTAAAGATGGAGCGTGCACAATGCCAGGCTGGAGTTTGGAAAAGCACACTGAATTGCTCTTAAGAATGACTTTTCATCGTCAGATCCAAACACCATATAGGGGAAAAAGAAAATGACAAAACGTTTCAAAAGTCGAATGGACATGCAGAAAGATAGGGCTGATCATGATTGGTGACTCATTACAATTTTGACGAAGGAGTCCCGTGTGCTTATAATTCATCGTCGTCACCAGCAGCTCTCAAGGATTGTATGTCTTATCAATGCCCAAGACAACTCTCGACACAAAGCAAAGTTCCTGTATGTCAGCCAGCTGCTCATCCAAAAACAAGATGATGGAGGGAGACATTGATTTATTGATGACTCGAAAGTTTATGTTTCTTTCAAAATCTGCGAGCTTTAACCATATCAGCAACCTGCAGAACTTGGTCTGCCAAGTTTGAACCTCGTTTTCCAAGTTGGACCCTTTTATTTTTTCTGCCCGCTGCTTATATTTTATCTGCTGTTTCTTTCTAGGTAAGTCAAACTCTTCTCCCTCTTCTAAAAGCAGTTTGTTGTAAATGGTTGTTGTGGGTAGATGGCGTAAGTAAATCTTTGATTTTTGTCATGGTTTCCTCGCAGGTCCTGACATACCGTTCATGAGGATGAGCTGTCTTGTTCCCATGTGGCATGGTTTAAAACTCCTTCCAATACCCTTTGTATTCAACAAGAGCAGTTGATTTGCTTGTGGGGGCGGCAATTCTATCATGTGGTCCTGACTCTATCCAGGTTATCCACCTGCGGCATTTTGAATCAAACTTCAAGGTGGAACAGTACCTGGACATAACTAGTATGTTGCTGGCATCAGGTTGGGGGCTTATGGGTACATTTAATAAACTCTCCTCCTACTCTGGCCAACCTCTCGACAGTAGACACCTTTGTTCATGAACAACTTTTCGATCTCGGCACTGTTTGACTTGACGGGGTAGTAATATTTGGCTGTGTTAGTTTTAATCCAAGCACCGCAGTCATCATTGAAAGTGCTTTTTTCTTTGATCAGTCTCCTTTCATTGTTGCGTGCACTGTCAAGCAAAAATGCACTCTTTGGTCCTGTCGGTATTCTCTCAACAATTGGACATGTACCATCCTTTAGGTGATGTAAGACTTCAGAGGTTGTGAAAAAATCATTTATTAGCAGTTTTAGGTCATCTCTAGATTTGTCATCATGACTTCCACCATAATCACCATTTTCAGGATAAACGTCACCACTAATAATATCACTCATGTAATCATCACAGAAGTGAACTAATTCTTCATCAACAAAATTTCACAGCATAATAAAGCATCATTAGAAAGTGAATTGTATTTTTGTATAGTCAAGGACCACTCAAGAATTCATCTCTCTCAGGAGAGAGAGAGAGACAGAGAGAGAGAGAGACAGAGAGAGAGAGAGACAGAGAGAGAGAGAGAGAGAGAGAGAGAGAGAGAGAGAGAGAGAGAGAGAGACAGAGAGAGACAGAGAGAGAGAGACAGAGAGAGAGAGACAGAGAGAGAGAGACAGAGAGAGAGAGAGATGAGAGAGAAAGAGAGAGAATAAAAACTTAGTGGGTAATCATGTCATAATTTATAAATAAAGTCTTTTGGTCACACATGACATAGATCTAGATTTTAGATCTACAGCCAGTTGATTTTAGATCTACAGCCAGTTGACACAAGCAATTTAAAATTAGGGAGTGTATACAGACCCGGTAACCGGGAACAAAGTCACAAAGTATAGACCCGGTAAGGGAAATCTTTTGCGATTTCGGAAAGTTTCAGCGCCCTCTTGGCTCAGGGTAGACCAGAGAATTCTACACTAAGGTAGACCTAGGTTCTTCCAGATCTATTAACATAGCCTAGGTCTAGATCTAGAAAGACAGACATAAATCATTGATCTAGTTTCGAAGCTAGCCTAGATCTAGACCTAAATGAAGATTGCGGATGTCATTTCGATGAACGATCGTTTTTCCTCCGTTTTCGAGTTGGAGGAATCACAATTTAAAGAAAAGAACAATGTAATTTCTGTCAAGCAGTCACCCTCTCTATTTTTCTGCCTCTCTCTCTCTCCTCTGTCTCTGTGTATCGCTCGCATTCTCTTTTTCTTTTGTTTTTCTCTCGTTCACTCCTGCCAACTGGTGGAGTATGTATACATTTTGCTAGCACTTCTCTCCTCTCTCTCTCTCACATACACACACACTACCGGGTCTGGGCGCTGAAACTTTCCGAAATCACAAAAGAGTTCCCCTACCGGATCTGTATACTTCGTGACTTTGTTCCCGGTTACCGGCTCTGTCTATTAGATCTAGAATCTAATCTAGATACTAGATCTAGATCTAGATTCATTTTATGGAAGTGGCTATTCTCACGCGGGGTGAGAATAGAAAAACGATCTACCTCTTACCCCGGGTGAGACTTGCCAGCGTAGGCTATTCTCACCCGGTGCGAAACAAGACCTGCTTTTCCTCATTTTGGAATACTGTCTATCGGTGTGGATGATCAAATTGATAAAAGCCAAGAAAAAATTACGTTATAGCACAAAAGTAAGCTAATTTGATCGTCTTCAAAGATGCTATGACTATTTCACTGTTCGAATCGAGCCGAACTACGCGGGTCGCCATTTTGTTTTGCCCGGAAGTTCTCGCAAGATCTACTCCTCCCCTCTCTCTCTGTCTCTTTATGAATACTGTCTATCTGTGTGGGCGATCAAATTGACCAAAACAAAGTTAAAAAATGATGTTAAAACACAAAAGTAAATTAATTTGGTTGTCTACAAAGATGCTACGGCTATTTAACTTTTCGAATCGAGCAGAACTACGCGGGTCGCCATTTTGTTTTGACCGGAAGTTCTCACGCTACTCCTCTCTCTGTCTCTTTCTCTCTCTCCACTGCCCACATACAAAATTGTACGCTTTTCGTAGTAGGCTACAGTTGTAATGGAACGTTTGTTCACGGCACAGAATTCTACAATTTTTCTGTTATCACAGTGTAGAATTCTGTGGTTTAGGGTGAACGCAAAATTTGTTGGCCAAGATCTAGGTTATAACAGTGAACGCGCGCCGGGTGAGAATAGCCAAAAGACTAGAGTACATCCTGTGGTGCGATATACAGTAAGCGATCTTTTATACAGTACACACTTCGTTAAAATTATAACGCAGTCTGTTGCCGACTGCCGCCGACCGTCACTTTCAACCAACCCTTACTGTAACAGCAGTTTAAAATTTCTATATGTTGTGGTGGTGTTTGTTTGGTAACGTGTGTCTGGTTTGGTGCGCAAGGTTTCTGGTTTGGTGCAACATATCGTCTTGTTGGGTGCGCAATAGTACCATGTTTACAGCTCTAGATCTTCTTTATTAGTCGCAGAGAACTGGACTTCGACAAGTTCAATTATTGAGAATTTATGAAGAGAATAGCGAGATAATCGTCTTTTATCCAGATCATTTGACAATGTCAGGGCAAATGTTAGAATCAACATCAATTATTTCATAGGTGCGAAAAATGAATTAGGCCTACCTTGCTCTTGGCAAGAGGCTTGATTCCACCAGTTTTGTCGGCCATGTTTTTTCTGTGTCTACACTTCTTGTGGTCACGTGACTAGGCTTGATCCATGCAAAATGTAAACTTAGTAGAATTCTGTGGCCTAGGCCTAGTAATGGAGGCTCAGGCTGCCCTGAAACCATGGTCAAGCTGCGGCCTGACTCTCGCGTTGAAAGCTCGATAGGCAAGAATTAAGCGTCTTAATCTGTTTTTGAGGTCCTTGAGATAAGGCAAGTTAGAAAAAAAATCCTTCCACCTGTGTAACACCCCAGCAGAAAGACCGAGATTCTTGATTTTTAAAAAGAAACAGCTGGTGTTTGTTTGGTAACGTGTGTCTGGTTTGGTGCGCAAGGTTTCTGGTTTGGTGCAACATATCGTCTTGTTGGGTGCGCAATAGTACCATGTTTACAGCTCTAGATCTAGATCTAGCTCTTTTCTGACACTTTTCATCTTTCTCTATCCTTGCTTTGTCTTCTTTTCCTTGCAAGAAGTTCCTGTACTGACCATAATGGAAGGCCAAGGTCAATTAGGCGTGTTCTTTTTGGGAGCTGTGCGCCCCCTGACAGGAGATTTCCTTACACCTTGTGTATGTGTTTTGATAATGGATAAAAAAAAAGGTGCTGTGGACACAAGAAGGGGAAAGAAGAAAACAAGAATAAGACTATACCTAGACTAGAATTTTAGAAGGAAAAGGACAAAAAAGAAGAAGAAAAAGACGTGAAAAGAAGAAATTGAAAAAGAAAGGTGCTGTGGACACAAGGAAGTGAAAGAAGAAAACAAGAATTAGACATACCTAGACTAGTATTCTTTAAGGAAAAGGGCAAAAAAGAAGAAGAAAAAGACATGAAAAGAAGAAATTGAACATTTTGGAGATTATATTTCCATATTAATTAATTTTGACATGAATACATTAACTTATCATCTTCCAATGGCAATATAATGCATCCAAATGGAAGGAAAACAGTCTGTTTCAGTGCACAATGCAGGTCATAGAGAAATAACTTAATAAGTAAAACAAACAAAGGGCCTAGAAGCCACACTATCAATGCCAAATAGCAAAAAAGCCGATATTGCGCACGAAACGGACTGCCCAAATTTGGTCCGCTTCAGTGCGCAACCCTATCTGGCATGTTCCTGGGCATTAAGAAGCAGCCTGCGATAGTATTTATCGATTCTAGTATACATTCTACGATACATTAGAGCTAGATTAGCTAGATGTGCTAAATAATCGACTACTCAAGCGCTTAGTAAATTGATCGATACTGGTTACGAAAACCATTAATATGAAGGGGCAAAACTTTCCGACACCGTAGAATCACGTGTGTTGACAGGAACCTCCAAAACGAAAGTGAAATAAGCTGCATTCTGCGCATGCTCACAGAAAATGACCTCGTTTTCGCTGTTCTTATCCAAAACAAAGCAGGAGACCGGGGGTTGCGCACCAAAACAGTAGCGCGGTGATGCGGGCCTACTCTAGCCTGCACTATTCTCATCCCGGGTGAGAATAGAGGTGGCCTTATTTTATACACACTTCGTTAAAATTATAACGCAGTCTGTTGCCGACTGCCGCCGACCGTCACTTTCAACCAACCCTTAAGTTACTATCCTGTCCACACAGTAGCTTACAACATGATGGACATAACCAGTTGACATTATGGGGAGTCGACTCCCAATAACCATTTGACATTATCATGGGGAGTCGACTCCCAATACGCCTTCGTGTGTGAAAACTCGCAGCAGTCTTCTTTATTAGTCGCAGAGAACTGGACTTCGACAAGTGCAATTATTGAGAATTTATGAAGAGAATAGCGAGATAATCGTCTTTTATCCAGATCATTTGACAATGTCGGGGCAAATGTTAGAATCAACATCAATTATTTCATAGGTGCGAAAAATGAATTAGGCCTACCTTGCTCTTGGCAAGAGGCTTGATTCCACCAGTTTTGTCGGCCATGTTTTTTCTGTGTCTACACTTCTTGTGGTCACGTGACTAGGCTTGATCCATGCAAAATGTAAACTTCCCGAGGAGATTTAGCCTAGGCCTAGTAATGGAGGCTCAGGCTGCCCTGAAACCATGGTCAAGCTGCGGCCTGACTCTCGCGTTGAAAGCTCGATAGGCAAGAATTAAGCGTCTTAATCTGTTTTTGAGGTCCTTGAGATAAGGCAAGTTAGAAAAAAAATCCTTCCACCTGTGTAACACCCCAGCAGAAAGACCGAGATTCTTTATTTTTAAAAAGAAACAGCTATTAAATATGGGTAATCAATGATTATTACAATCCGTATGTACGTCTCTGGCCTAGATTGCTTTCCTTTGTGTGTGCATATAATAAATGCAAACCTGTATCTTGGCAGGACAAGATCTAGGATCTTGATCTCTACATGACGTATCTTGTTTTCATACTTATCATACGCACCTAAGCTCGGAGTTCGATTTGTCAGTCAGACTTATTTTATGTTTGTAGTCCATTCATTCATCCCATTACTGTTGTAACACAGTATAATAAGCTCCAGCCTAGACATTCTTTGATTTTTTCCTAAACCATTTTTTTAAAAATGTTAATACATTTTTTTACATGAGGTAGTATTCAATTTTGCAAAAAATCCGTGAAAATCAACACACCAGACACCACCAACAAAAATCTAGATATCTATTCCAAATATTGAAAATTCAATTAATTCAATTTTTAGTATTGCGTCCTCTCTTCATTTTGTGAAAATTTATTGAAGATTGGATGAAAAATGGTGGAGTTATTTTTTATTTTTCTTAAGTATTCAGAAAATTCGCGTTTTGAGAAAACGGCCGATAAAGAAAATTAAATATTGACGCGGGGAATCCCAAATTATGCAAATGTTGCAGAATTACGTGAAAAAACGCGGCCGCACAATCGCACAATCCAACGGGGACAGCTTTCAGCTCATGTACCTGTCGTATTTCTCGATGTTGATTTGCCTATTGTATTGTATACAGGGCCTGATAGGGGCTGTTTGTTTGCAATTTATTGCGTTCAGTTTTAACTTTGTTAACTGATGGTCCCGGAGTTTTCTTAGGAACAAGAATATGTTTTGGAAGTAGGACTTTGAGCAGGATGGGTTTATACAATGAATGAGTTTCATGTCTTTGTCTGTCGTGCATATCGCCTTGCATGGTTCAATAGCGCATTTCCACCTTTTGCTGTTTTGCTGATTCTTGTCCAAACAAAACTTGAATCCTGAAACCGCAACAGCTTTTGGTACCCCCCTTTTCTTAACGTACGTTCATGTACATGTAGTTAGTTCCTGCTCCATGACGGCCGAAATGATTCTATATACTTGCCAAAACTAGAAGAATTTATAGTTGTTTCAACACAACAACACGCTACACACTTATTAAATTTTTTGTTCAAACTAGGCGGCCATTTTTTATGTGAAAGAGTAGAAATGAGCAAGAACGAGACCGGTACTTACAATAAAGGGAGAAAGGGAGAGATTGAGCCGTTATAACAGTCCACCCCTCCCGAGTTCTCATTGACACGGTAGGAGCGTTTTGAAGTTTTGTTTCAGAGGCGTTCATAAAGAAATCGATCTTCCATCTTCTGTGTAAATAACCTGTTTTCGAATGATTTGCGGCGAAACGATTTTCAGACTTCGACAGGTAGTCGCTGCGTCATTTGTGGCGAAACCTAACGCACCCAAAAAAAATTTTAAAAAAAAATAAAACAAGGAAAAGCCACAGGACCAGATAACATTCCAGTTGAAGTGATTGTTGCGCTTGAAGAACTATAGGCACGGAAATAACAACAAAGCTCTTACATTCTATTTATGACATCGGTGAGATCCCAAAAGGTAGGATGAAGTCAGTTTTTATTGCTTTACCTAAAACACCATGTGCCACTGATTGTGATATAATGCATAGAACAATAAGCTCTGAGTCATTTTACAAAAAGATTGCAACATGTACTAATTGGAAGCAGGTTGAGAAAAAATCTAAGACCAGAGATATCTAAAACACAGTTCGGCTTTGTTCCCATAAATAGCCACAGAAATGCTATATATTCACCTTAACAAGTTTAATGGAGAGATGTATTGAAGCACAGAAAGGTCTGTATTTATGCTTTCTAGATTACCCAAAGGCGTTCGATAGAGTTAGACATGGTCTGAGCTATTTAAAATACCGGAAAAGCTAAACGTAGATGGAAAAGATCTAAGAATTATCAGGAATTTGTACTGGGACCAAAACCGCTGCTGTACAAATTAATGGAGAATATAGTGAATATAAGCAGATTAGAAGAGGAGGGAGGCAAAGATTGTTATGTCTCCAGACCTCTTTAACGTGAACAGTTAAACAATCCTTAGAAACATAGAAGAATGTCCAGGCCTCAAAGTAAATGGAGAAAATATTAATAACATCATACATGACTCTGACACAGCTTTAATAGCAGACTCAGATAAAGGACATTCGATCGCTTGTAGATAATGGTTGTAACAAAAAGTGAACGTAAAAGACTGTTATTGAATGTAAAGAAAACAGAATACATGTTAATGTTTATAAAAAAGCAGCAAATCCTATTTGTAATCTCATTAGCAAAGGCGAAAAGATCAAACAAGTACATGTATAATAATATAATAACATCTGATGCCAAATGTTCCACAGAAATAAAACGAAAAATTGTAATGGCTAAGCCTAGTTTCAATAAAATGAGCACAATCCTGAAAAATAAAAACATCTCAATGACTACCAAAACGAAAGTTCTGAAATGCTATGTATGGTCAACCGTTCTATATGGCTGTGAATGCTGGACAATCACTAAAGACAGTGGCAAAAAAAAAAAAAAAAACAGAAATGAGGTTTGCTTAGAATATCGTGGAAGGTAAAGAAATCAAATGAGGTAGTGCTTGATGAAGCCCACGTGGGACGCTCACTGTTAAAAACAATCAGGAAACAACAATTAATGCAGTTTTTTGAAGACACCTGAATAGTCTTAAAAGGTCTTGAACATCTAGCCCCCACTGGCAAAATCGAAGGCAAACGAGGCAGAGGTAGACCCAGAGCAACCTACTTAGGAAACCTAAACAAATGGATAATGGGAAAGGTCAGGGAA